TCAAGAGAAAGGGAGAGCTCCCCTGGGTCCTGGGTCAGATATTGCTAATAGAATAGGTTTTGTAATTTGGATTTAAAGCATTAAAGTTCACAATGCAGAGGTTGCTCATGGCTTTCATAAGAAAAGTTTAAGTGGAGTGGTGGGGAAGACATGTTTGGTGTGGATTTATAAGACAGTGGAATAGAGGAATGGAATAGTGAGTGAAGAATTCTTTTGAGGACTTTTCTTGCTCAGAGGAGAAACTAAATGGGGAAGTAGCTGGCAGCAGAAGAAAGGTTAAGAGATGATTTGGGGGCTTTGATCTGTTGTGGTTTTTTTGTTTTTATTTATTTTATTTATTTGTTTAAAGATTATTTATTTATTTGAGAAAGAAGAGAGAGCAGGAGGGAGAGGGAAAGAGAATCTGAAGCAGACTCCGCACTGAGCACGGAGCCTAACATGGGGCTCGATCCCACCACTGCGAGATCATGACCTAAGCTGAAACCAAGAGTTGGATGCTTAACCGACTGAACCCCCAGGTGACCCGTTTTGTTGTTGTTGTTGTTCTGTTTTTAGATGAAGAAATAATAGCATATATGCTCTTGGGAATGATCCAGTAGAAAGAGAAAAAACAATGATATAGTACAGAGAGGGGAGAATGTTAAAATGATCCCTTTAGTAAATGGGAAGTAATGGGATCTAATGCGCAGAGGCATTGGCTTGAGACAGCAGTAGGGATCGTTCATCCATGGTAGGTGCAGATGGGAAGAGAGTCTGAAAATTATCCTCCCTTCTCAGTGAAGTACAAAGCAAGGTCATCTGCTTGTGAGCATGGGGTAGGAATTAGAGGTGTGAGGAGAGAAGTAAAGGTATAAAATAGTCAGCTAGGAGAGCCGGGGGTGAATGGATTATGGAAATGTACTAAGGCCCACCAGTTTTGTTGTTGCAAAAGTAAGAGGACACAAATTAGAGTGACTATGTGTTATGTAGGGTAATCTGCTTGGAGAAAGAAATGAATCCATCCAGCTTTAGTCTCTCACTAATCTATCCCTTTGCCCCACTCACACCACCTTCATTGTCCTATTATTCTTGAAGACTGCTCTTAAACAACTACAAAAATAGAGCATTGCAACAAACTTAAGTTGGCAGTTCCAAACATGTGCCCTGTGGCCACATGGAGTATTTTTTCAATTGTGAGGGAGACGCAGCGACATCTGTTGGACACTGTGTGAACTACTAGCTCAATGTAGTTCACAGTTCCATTACTAGATGGTTCTACATTCCTGTCCATTCCTCAGTTTATTTGTGAAGCTGAGTTTTCTAGCTTTTGCTGAAATAAAACACTGCACAAAAATCAGTTGGAGTGTCCAATCTGATTCTAAAGTTTGAAAAGTTGTGCAGTGCCCAACAGCAAGTAATTGTGGTTATCTAAGAATAAAATTAAAAAATTTTTAATTTATAGTTCTTTTCAAACAACTTCTAAGTTGTTAAGATACAAGTAATAATGAGGTTGTTTAGACCTAAGCTACTTAATATGAAGAATTATTAGCTATTTATTTTGGTCTAGGGGTGTAATCGGAGACAGTAAAGGCACTGAGAAAATTTGGGAACCTCTGATTTGAGGATGAATTCCTGTTGCTTCCTCTATTTCTTCCAAGTAATGGGTCAAGGCCCTTGAGGGATGTAGTTGTGCGCAGTAGGACTAGGAAATTCTCACACCTAAATCTAAGTCTTGCACGGGATAGCTTATGAAAAATCCTCCCTCCCTCATTATCTTGAAACTTCGGAAATCTCTCTTCCCGGTTTTAATGGCACTTAGCTGCACCATCAGCATCTGTTATGGCTCAGGTATTTAAAGCCAAAAGGAAACACAGGACTCTCAGCTCCCCCCGAGTCTTGTGTATCTAAAAGAAACGAGACCACGTGGGTCACCAGAAGACTTGCCTTGGATGTTAATCGTTTTGCTAACATCCACTGCAAATAGTTCTTGATAGATGGCTTAGGCCAAATAACTGTGGCCTCAGAACTGCTTCTGTTTTCTCCAGCAAAGATGTGGGAACAAATGCTTGTGTGTTGGGGAAATGAGGTGCCACTAAGCTGTGTTTAAGTATGTGTGCGTGTGTGAGCCTGTCACAGGGCTCTGCAAATATCATCTCTTCTTGATCTGTAATTGTGAGCTTCCCGGGTCAAGACTGTGCTTTCTTCATTTTTGTTAAGTTCAGCACCCAGGACAAGGCCTGGCCCATGGCAGACACTGAATAGATGTTTGATGTTAGAATATGAATAATGAATTCCTGTTATTTAATTTGCATAAGCAGATGTACCATAAAAACCGAAGAAGCTTAAGCTGTAGGGCCCCCAAAGATTTATAAATATTTGAGGTATTTTAATTGTAATTAGTTAAAAATATTATCTCTTTCTACTTTGCCTTACCATCTATCATATTTGACTTCATGTTTGGTGAGATCAGAGAGGCTGTAAACATTTTTGGGATCCATCTCCAGAGAAGTGGAGTTAGGGTGCATTTAGGTTGGGTTCGGGGAGCTAAATGTTGTGATTGACATTCACTTTTGTCTATAGTTATGCTAGCCATCCCAGTGTAGAAATGGATGCCAGGAATCCTTCTGCCCACTGTGAAGGACACATCCCAGGTTGAGACATGAAGTCAGGGGTAAGGTCGTGTGAAAGCCTCCTACAGTGCCCAGTGCAGGAGGAATGTCCATTACAAAGGAAAAATGGGACATGGAGGGGAGGTATAGGAAACTGGTCTATAGAAAATCTTCCAACAGGTATGTAAAAATATAAGCTGATGAATCATTCTCTATAACACCTAGTCAAAAAGGATATTCTTTTCTGACATTATACTCAAAAGAGCAGAGCACACAGAATACATTTAGCATACTTTCTTTTTTCACGGGGATTGCATGATACAGAGTTTACCACCGTTTGCTCTTGTGGTACGAACCAATACCAGTACCAAGAACAGCAAGGACATCTGTGTGTAACGTAACACATCTTACACATCTCAGCTTGCATCTCACTGACTTGATGTATCGTGTTCCAATGAAGTCTGGTGGTTCCAGATGAAATGGTATGAAAAATGGCCACCGAGTGAACAAAAGTGCCTGCATTTTCTACACTGTCAGTAATAAATAATAAATTTTGATCAACCACTAGAAGATTGGTTTACCTTTGATCTCTATATGAAAAATTATAAAATTGTTTTTCAAAGAGGCGATCAAAGAGTGTGCAGCCAAAAAAAAAATGTTGGAAAAAAGTATATTAAGCAGTTAAAAAATGTCATTTTTCTGGATTATAATGGTTTGGGTTTGATCAGCTTTACAAATTTTGAACTTCCTACTGATTTCTTTTCTTACTCTAAATATGCCCTTTCATATCTACTTTCACATTCAGAATCTCGTATTTCTCTATATTTTTTTTAAGATTTTTTTTTTTTAACAGAGACACAGCGAGAGAGGGAACACAAGCAGGGGGAGTGGAAGAGGGAGAAGCAGCTTCCCGCCAAGTAGGGAACCCAACGCGGGGCTTGATCCCAGGACCCTGGCATCATGACCTGAGCCGAAGGCAGACGCTTAACCGACTGAGCCATCCAGGCGCCCCTATTTCTCTATATTAACAAGTAGACATTTGATGTCTCATGATACAAAATGTCTTCAGGATGCATGAACTAGTCACTCAATCCCTCCCTATCATTTATGGGAGGAAATTTTGCTATTTCAGCCATAAGAGCTCTAACTATATAACATTTAACTACTTGGGAACTCTATAGCTCTAGCAGCTTCTAATTTGCATTGCCGCAAGTGACAGCTGATCTTCTGAAACAAATATGTTTTATTTGAAATGCTGCACATGATGTAATCTATCTGAAGACCTTTTTAAGGAACAATTAGGGATCCGTAGTTAATCATTTCAATCTGCCAATGGGGACACTATTAGCAAAACACAGATCATGGGAAACTCTATAGAACAAAAAACCTGGTTTCTTCAGTTTGAAAAATTGTAAGGAAAAAACCCCAATGGAATGAGAAGCCTATGGATTAAAAAAGACTTACAAGACCAAGCACAAAGTGTAACTTTCTTTATATCCCAATTCGAACAAACTTAGAAAGTGACTTTATGAAATAATTGGAAATCATCTGATTGAATATTTGATATTAAGAAATCACTGTTACTACTTAAGATGTGAGATGGTTTTAAGAAATAGTTATCTTGTTGAGATATAGAAAATATTTATAGATAAAATTATATATCTGATTTGTGTCAAAATACTAATGGAGAAGTGGATGAGAAGTAGATAAGGCAGGTTTGGTTACAGGTTGAAGTTCAAGGGCTGGGTGAGGACACAGAGGTCCATTCTACTATTCCGTCTTTTTGTGTGTGTATGCTCAATATTCTCTATAATAAAAAGTATTAACATGTTCAATCTGATTGTCAAACCCCATGGACAGAACTCATATAAGTTGCCAAGACCATCATTCTGATGACAAGAATCTATTAAATTGGTTGTAGTGCATGTCTTGGGAGTTAAAGTCTTTTTATTGTTAAATATCAAAAAGTGAAATAATTTTATTATTTCTATTGTTAACATTAAAGTTGTGTGTAAATTGTATAAAATTATGTACCTTGCTTAGTTAAAACAATGGGATATTTTGTAATTGTTTGTTTTATTAAGCATGCCCAAATATTCCAAGCATAGTATATATGTGTTTTAAAAAAGCTCAGGTAGCATTTATAATAAGGGAAGCACTGTTATTCCTAGCATGAATGTAATGGTGGCATGAAAAACCATTGTCTATCTTATCTTGTCATTTAATAACAAAATGATTAACATTATGGAATATTTCTGAGCCCCCCAAAATTTATCTTCTGAACGAGACCAATACTTTATTCACATACTAGGAATAAGCCAGTACAAAATACATTTTTAAAATATTCCCTTGTTGCTAAAAATCCTGCTGCCCCACCCCCACCCCAATCCCACACATCTGTTTGTTCTCCCGCAGGCCCCTGGGTCGACTCCAGTTTCCTGGACCTCCTGCAAGAGCCTGAGCAGGGGTCATCAGCCCCAAGGGCAAGGGTGGAGTTCTCAGTCATTTGCACCAGCAGGTGAGCCTGCTGCATCCCTGAGCCAGGGGCCCTGAAGCCCAGGGCAGGAAAGTGCATGGGCAGGTGGCTGTAGGCAGGCAGGTCGTGCAGGTACACTGGGAGGCCGTCTCCCTCCCCCTGGTAGTGCTGGAGGATGACTTTTTGCCCCTCCCAGAGCATGTTCCTGCAAGGTGGCAGATACTCTGGAGCGAGGTCCCGAAATGACTAGGTGACCCTGCAATGGCAGACGGTGATCAGGTGCAGGCCAACGAGCTGCTGCTGAGGTCCAGAAGGAGGACAAAATCATCACAGGAATATGGTTTCTCAAAACCAGTACTTACACCTGTATTTTGTGACCTCTGACATTGTTGAACTCTCACTGTTGTTTAAAACTCTCTCCCTTTAGTTTCTATGCCCTCCCAACTTTCTGGTCATTCTCTCCCAATCTCATTGATAGGCTCCATTTCTTCAGACTCACCCTGAGTCATTGTGTAGGATGGAAAGAAGGCTTCCATGTCTCTGCTCCTCTACTGTGGGATTATGAGGAGGCCGCTTAAACTAAAAGGAGATCCCACTGCATGGTGGGATCAAGCCCAAAGTCATCTGCTCTTCCAACCTATCCTCCCAGAACAATTGTGCAAATCTACTGCAGAAATAAAATATATCAGTTCAGAAAACAGTTCATGAGGAAACCATTTGACTTTATCTGATTTTATTTTTCATAGAATAACACAACAGCAATCAGCTTTCCACTTCAGAGGAATCTAGGTATGCTAGTATCAATTTGGATGAACTGGACTGAAGGACTCCAAGAGGGACTCCAAAAACTTTTTGGATGAAGTCCATATATTGAAAGAACTTGAAATCTTTGCCACCAGAGGAACTCTGCAGTTTGTCTTCCTTAAAGTTCTTGGGGGAACAGTCCAGCGAATGGTTTGGGGCATAATTTCCAGTGAATCTGCTGGTATACAGGCATAAAAAAATGGCTGGTTTTGTTTTCTTTCAGAATGAAAGTTGATATCCTCTTGATGAAGCTTTGATGGTAACTTAGGTTTGCTTGCGAAGTAATTTGATCTTTCTGACTCACAATTATGGACTTTCTTCTTTCTTGTGCATTTCTCTTTAGTCCATGTATAACTGTAATCACAGTCCCAATGAATGTTGTTCTTTCTAAATAAATCAGATTTGGCCTTCTTTCCTTCGTTGCTTTCCAGATGCCTGTGAGGTTTGCCTTGGCCTTTTGCAAGATGTAATTTGATGTTTGATTCTGTTAAGGGAGCTAAAGAATGGTTGGTTCTGCACCTTGCAGTCCACGAAGACTTCTCTTCACTGAATGGAATGGAAGATGATCTAGACAGAACTTCCACAGCATTTAATGAACCGTGGCGCAACAAGTCAGGAGATGGCATTTTAGAGGATGACCTATATTTCCTGCTTTTGTGGGATTCATAGGAAGGTGTGACAATTGAGGAATGTTTTCTACAGCCTCTAATATGTTGGGAACCTGAATCTTCCCTGTACAATGGTTTCAAATTCATTTTGCTTTTTTTCATCTTGTAGAGATTTTCCAAAGGAATGCCTTTCTGTAATTCAAATAGAATGTTTTGTGATTCCTGACTTAAATAAGGGTTGAATTCCAAAAACATACATTCTTCACTCTCATGTGCTTCAAGAGCTGAGCATTCCTCCAAGTTGGCTGAACTCTCAATATTTGTCTGACTCTCGGTAAAATCTTCAGAAATCTGAGTTGAATGGGAATCAACTAAACTGGGAGTGCTTTCCTGAGTCTTTGAATCAAATGATTTGCACATATCTGTTTCTTGAAACCATACATGACATTGTTTATCTTTTTCCAGAGTCATGTGAGATTTTAACTCTGAAAGAGCTGTAGTATCTTTCTGCACTGGGCCTTGTTGATTGGGGTCAGAAGCACACACAAGGGTTGGCTCCAGGAATTTTCTCAATGATGAGTTTTCATGAGGACTTTGATTTTTGAAAGAGATGTGCTGTTCTAACAGTTCCGTGTCAATGCAAAAACCACCACCACTTTCTCCCCTGTTATCTATATTTTCACATATTGCAACTGTGTTTAACTTAAGAATATGTTTGGGAAGTGCAGTTGGTTTAGGGAATACACTTCCGACTGGAAGCCCCAGGAGAAAATGAAGGTATTTGTATTGTAAATCAAGATCTATTTGATGAAGAGATTTTTCCTCAAAACGTAACAAAATTCTATTTTTTCGTTTTGGTACTTTGAAACCAGAATGAATACATTTAGATAAAGGCTTCCTTATATTCTGAGGACTGGCCATTGCATAGGATTCTCTTACAATTCTGGGAAAGGCTTTCATTTGAATCTCCAATGTTTTCATAGAAAAGTGTATGAGCAGTTTGTCTTTTTCTTCTACTGAGTAGTTTTGAAGAATATGAGGCAATGGCATCTGCTTAGCTGGAGTCACTGAAGACACTCCACTTCCTAGCTTACTAATACTCCTTAACTTTGTAATGATCTCTTCACTGTCACTTGAAACACTGACAATCAATGTCTTCGTACAGCTGACAGGCGGTGAACCCTTAGCGCATTTCTGTTTTAAGTGAAGTTCTACAGTATCAGTCCCTTCTAGAGACAAAAAGCACATTTTTTTATGTCTCGGATATAGCCTCCAACTGTTATCTTCTGAAAAAGACTGTTTTAGATAAAAGTTGAGCTTTTGGAAGGATTGTTTTGCCATCTCTGGTATCAGATTCAGTTTTATTTCAAATGCTTTTGACTCGAAATGATTAGTGAGCTTATTGTTTTCTTTGGGAGTAAAACGTTCTAAAATGGGTTTTGGCTGCACTTTGGGAGGTACTGTGCATGTTGTATCTGGGCTCCCTGCACACGGTGGTAACTTCCAATCATCAGGTTTTGGGGCTTTTAGTTTTTCCAGTATATTCTCACAAATGTTGTCATAGATCATATTTTTTATCTGGGATTCAAAGATACTTTTAATTGCTTCAAAAAGAGGAAGTAAACTTTCTGCACTTGTACTATCTGCCACTACTTTTATTTCATTACTTTTAACTTGGGGTGGTATAGGCCCAGTTCCTGGAAAAGTTTTTTGTTGCTGGACGTTTTGTGCGGTTGTAGCCTGGATGGGTTCGCTCTGATCCCCCTGTTGAGGGGGTGAGATACACTCCATGGTATTGAATAGCTGAGTCCCATGTTGTGGTTCTTCTAGTCCTGGAGGGGAAATACTCATACTTAGGGTGCTTTCCATGGGGGCTTCCACATTGTCCTCTGGCTCGTCAGACATGAGTGGACCCTCTGTAGGTGTCAGAATGGGTTTTGGTGCCTTTTCTTCTTCTTCAGTCATACGCAAGTCAGGTTCTTTTATGATCCCTGAGCTGTCGTGCCCTGGAACAACCCTTTCTTCTTTGGTTTGTGGAATTACATTTTTTTCCTTTGTTTCACTGCCAAGGTTTGCTTCTGAATTGGCACTGGGGAGTGTTTGCATTTGTTGCTCCTCTACCACGGAGGGCTGGGAATCCTGTGGAGCTGTGTCTGTAAAACTCTGGTCCCCTTCTTTTACAGTGCTCGAGCTATTCCTCTGAGTGTGTGGTGATTTCTGCTGGATTTCAGAAGGACAGAGTATCTTTTCTCTTCCTCGGTTTGTCTCAGAGTCTACTATTTCTTGCATCTGAGATGAACTCATTGTGGAAATAGAAAGACTTCTGACAAATATCCCGGAGGCATCTTCACTCCGCAAAACTGTTTTCTTTGGTTTCTTCAAGTCATACTCTAATTTCTTTCTATTGCTTGGAGTGCCACGTCCTGTGTTGTTAAGAATCTGCGAAACCGGATGATTTGGGATTTTCATGGTTAAATCTTTGGGGCTCAATTCTCTTTTCAAATCTGCTACTGTCAACCTGCCTTTCCAGCTTTTAAATTTGAGAGAAAGAGGAATATTGGCATAAAATGAATCTAGAACATGTTTTTGAAACAATTTCTGTGGCTGAATATTTTGTTTTGCACCAGAGACTTCTAGTTCCTTTTTATGGTTTTGCTTGATTGGGCAGCTGTTTGCTCTATGAGTTATCGGCTGAGTGTTAATTTGAGGTATCTGTGTCTTTAGAGATGGAGTGTTCAGGTTTACGGTGCTGCTTGTGTCCCTTTTCTTGCTCCCCTCCAGACTGACCATGGTGTGTTTGTGCATTTCTGTTTTGTCTGCTGCCGGACGGATAGCCACGTTTGTGTCTATTTTTAACTCCCCTTCTTCCATTTCTACTGTTTTTTGCTCCAGACTTATAGTAGCGCTTGTGTCCATTTTATTTTTTCCCTCCAGATCTCCAGATTGAAGTGGAAAAGTCCAGTGGGAAGAAAGAGACTTCTGAAGTGATTCTAGAATATATTCCTCTTGTTGTGGAACTGGCAGTCCCTGTTCTTTTCCCCCTCCTATGGTATCAAACACTGGAATATCCATGTGTATTCCTGGTAGTATTAGTATTCTGGGGTACAGTGCCATTTGCTTGTGTACATCTGTTTCCAGTGGCATCTTCTGCCTTCCGTTTTGAAGTGGGAACTTAAGAGAAAAGCTGGAGTCCAGCCAGGTCTTATGTCCACTTTCAGACTGTAGCACCACTTGCTTTTTCACAACAATCTCTTGTTCCTCTATAATTGGGGAGGTATCTGACTCTGCGATATTCATTTTCTCAAGTGATCCCTCTGTCTGCGGGGCCAACACTTTGGGAGAGAGCATTTTGCTCACTTTATCATTATTATGTACATCTTTCTCTCGCTTATCAAATTTATATGAATCTGCAGATCCTGGCGATGCTTTTGATAAAGTTTTTTGTTGGTGGGCATCTTGCTCTGCAACAGAAAATCCTTTTGCACTTACGGGGGTACCAAATGTGATATATATTTCCTCGGTTATTTTCCTTGGCGGTGTAACTAAAACATTAGGGCTTATTTTATGGTTTAAGTTATCCACTATTTCAGTTTGTTTCTTCAGATTTTCAATTTTAGTGGGCTCCATGGTGGGGTAGGAAAGAAATGTAGTGAAAGTTTCTGTTTTGTATTTTTCTGGCTGAACCTCTTGTCCTGTAAAGAAATACTCCAGCCTCTTTCCAGTTATGGTACCAAATCCTGTTAAATAAATGTTCTCATGCTGTGAATTTAAAACTAACTGACTCAGATCTCCTTCAGATTTGACTCGTGGAGGTTCATTCCTTCGCCGTACACTGATCATGAAGTTTGAGGTCCACTGTTGTACTGTGTCTTCTTGGGGCACAGAGTGTCCCGCTTTTTTAACGATCTCACCATCACCAGCAACTACCTCTGTATTTGCTGTTTTCTGGGTATCTGATGATTCCTGGAGATTTTGCTGTGGAGGAAAGGATCCTGTAAGTCCTGGCACATCTTTGTCTGCTTTGCTCCCTGAGTCTAGATAAAGGGAAGGTGCTGATGGGACAGAAAGAAAAGTCCTTGTCAGAACCACAGGTAGCTCATCTTTACCGTTGTATGCGTTTTCCTTTAGCTCTTTAATGTTCAACACAAATTCCTTTGTGTTAAAGATATGTGAAATTGACGAAATCCTAGCCTCTTTGTGATGCATCATGATCCTCATATCTACTGTTTTCACTTCGTGCTTTTTTCCCTTCTGTGAGATATGTTGTTTGCTTTCTCTTATATCACAAATTGCCCCTGTATCTGCTCTCATCTTTGTATCTGATACTGCTGAAAGCATTTGTGGAATTAGAGAGGGTCTTTTAATTCCAAGCCTTTCTTCATCTACTTGTATACCTTTATCCAATGTAAGTTCAGCTGGAGGTTGGGAAACATAAATTTTTCTTAGCACTGTACCAGGTGGTTTACCTGGACATTCATGTTTCTTTTGTTCTTGCCCTCCCCTGTTCAGATGCAATTCTGTTCTATGGAGCTTAAGTGAAGGAGGTGATTTCCTGGACTTCAAACTTATATCTGTGGTGTGTGTCATATTTCTCCTATCTCTTGTTTTTTCTCTGTCCTGCTCCTCTTCCTGAGGCATGAGTCGTTTCTTGTTCTGACTGTCTTCCGTGACATCACCACGGATTGCTTCTGTATGTACTACTTCCCCGGCATTTGATTCTCTCTGCACAACAGACCTTGCAGGTCCTAGCATTTCATCACCTGCCTGTGTTTCTTTATCCAACTGCAGGTGAGGGAGAGATGGTGATGGAGAGGAAGAGTTGGCCACAACCACCCTTGGTTCATCTTCACTTTCCTGCATCTTCTTTTCTTGATGTTTGGGAAACATGAGGTTTACTATTTCTACTCCATCCCTTTCCTTGTTCTGGGGCATACGATGTTTTCCTTTTTGTGGACTGATTAGAATATTGCTGGTAACGGGCTCTATACATTCCATGTCCTCAGAATCTGATGATTCCTGGGAGCCGACTGTGGGAAAAGAGGATCCTGTTAATATCGGTATTCTCTTTTCTTCAACTCTGGTATTTGTGTTGAAGTGAAGTAGGCGAGATCTGCAAGTACAAGTCTTAGTCAGTATTGCACCACCTGGCTCACGCTGACCTTCCTGAGCTGTTCCCTCTTGCTTTTCAGTCTTCCGCCGAAGGGCACTTAGATTGTTTCTAAGGAAATTAGGTGATTTCTTTGCTTTTAAATACCTATCATTGTGATCCACCATACTCTTCTTCATATCCACCTTTTTCTCTCTGTCCCTCGCTTCTTTCGGTAATGTGTGTTCTTTTAATTTTTTTACATCATTTGAGAGTCCTCCATCAGTTGTTTCTGCGTCTGTTGTTTTCACTGCATCTGGTGACGCCCTGGACTGTAGGCGCGGGAGAGGCGGTTTTGTAATTCTTATCATGTACCCCTCTCCTTCTCTTGAACCAAATTTAAGATATGGTAGAATAAGTACAGAAGTACAAATGTTTTCCTGATGCGTAGCTAGGTCGTTTTCATCTTTCTGCACCTTTCTCTCTTGCTCTTTAATTTTCCACTGCAATTTTTTGGTATCGAGTACACGTGAAAGTGGTAATTCCTTTGCCTTCAGAGCCATAGGTATTGGGACCATTTTGTTTTCAAGATCTGTTTTGAGTCTATCCTTCTCTTTTAACACACAACCATCAAATGACTTAGTATATCGCTTTTTGCCTGAACTGGATGGATCCTGAATCTTTGGTGGTGGAAAATAGGATTGTGTTATTCTTCGTGTGTCTTCCTCTTCATTCATCCTTGTGTCCCATTTCAGATAAGACGGAGAAGGTAAGGAGGCATAGCTTTCCTTCAGAGCCATTTCTGGCTCACTTTCGCCTTCTGGCACTTCTTTTCCTTGCTCTTTAATATTCAAATGTAGCCTCTTTCTACTGGGTAGATGTGGAAGTGGGGATGTCTCTGCTGTCGAGGTGATTACTTGGGGGACCCGTCGATCTTTCCCACCTTTTATTTTTACTCTGTCCTTTACCTCTGTATATGGCATACTTTGATAAGCTTTTATTATTACACTACATGACCTAATACTTTCACTGGAATCTGCATATCTGATTTTTCCTGCACTTGATGACTTAGAGCACAGCAACTGTGAAGGAGAGAATCCTGTAACTGCAAGCAAATCTTTGTCTACTTTAGTTCTTGTGTCCGATCTGTGGTAAGATGGAGAAGCTGTGGAAGGAGACGTTTTTGTCAGAGCTGCATCAGGATCTCCTGTTCTTTGCTGCCCCTGTTCTACTTTCTCCCTCATATGCCACTGTGGTTCCTTTCTCTCGTTCAAAGCACCGTGTTCAGTGACACTGAATGTATGAGAAGGTGGTGATGTCTTTGCCTTAAAATCTGTGCCCCGGGGCTGCACTGAGCCCCTCCTGGCTCCTGTTTGTACTCCGCTCCTTTCTGCCTGTCGTGGGCATTGGTCTCCTTTCTGCACATGGCTGTCAGGTGAATCCGTAGATGCTATTTGCCCTGAGGGCAATGATTCTTGGAGCTCAAGACGTGGCGCATCATTTCTTATTATTCCTGGCTCACCTTCCTCGTTTTTTATTGTGTTCCACTTAAGATGAGTTGAGGAAATGAGAAAAGGATGAATTTTGCTCAGAAGCACAACGGTTTCCTTGTTACCTTCTTGTCCCACTTCGCCTTGTTCTTTGATGTTCACTTGCAGTCTCTTTGTTTTGAGTATAAGGGAAAGGGGTGATTTCTTTGCCCTCAAAGCCATATACTTAGAATGCATTATGTCTTTCTCAAAAGTATTCGCTTTATCCTCTTCTCTCTGTGTCGTGTATTTTGTTCTTTTTGAATCATTTGAAACATCGCTCAAAGGTAGTACTGTATGTTTTAATTTCTCTGCATTTGATGCTTCCCTTTGCCATGAGGGTGGAAGAAAGGGTCTTGATACTTGTTTCTCCTCCTTGCCTTCTATACTTTTGTTTAATTTAAACCGAGGCAGAGAAGGTCTTGTCAGAACCTGACCTAGCTCACTTCTTTCTTGTATGTATCTTAATTTTTCTTTCACGCTTGTCTGTACTTCTCTAATTTGGGCGTCACAACCCCCAGAGGTAAAGAGTACGTGTGGAAGCGGTAATACCTTTGCCTTGGAAGTTGTGCCCTTGGGATACATTCTAAATTTTCTATTTACCACTTTTCTTCTATCTTCTCCTTGCTGTGGCTCATACTCTTGGACTACTCTTACATCATCTGAAATATCATCTCCAGCTGACTTTGTGTACACTACTTTCCCTGCATCAGATGATTTCCGTAGCTGTAGTCGTGAAACAGCGGATCCTGTTATTTCTTGCCTGTCTTCCTCTCCTATTCTTGTGTTCAATTCACGGTGAGTTAAAGATGCAGAAGCCCAATTTGTGGGCAGAACTACTTCTTGTTCACCTTTACCTCCTCTATCCACTGTCCCCTGCTCTTCACCTTCTGGACCCTCTTTCACCTGCTCTTTAAGATTCAATGGTATGTCCTGTAATAGTGCTTTCTTTCCTTTCAAATCTTTATCTTTTGGCTGCATTGTGTCTCTCTTTGCTGATTTCTCTACCTTAGTCTCTTCTTTCTGTGGTGTATGTTCTTTTGTTTCTTGTACATCACTTGTGATATCACCATCAGTGGACTTTTTATTTGCTTTTTTCACTGCATCTGATGATTTCTGCTGTGATAGTTCTGGAAGAGAGCATCTTGTTGCTTCAGTTACACAGTCTGCTTTTTTTATTCTTGTATCCAACTGTAAATGAGAAGGAGCAGGTATGCAAGTGCTAGTATTGGTCGCAAGGACATTTGGCTCACCTTTAATTTTTTGTGTCTTCTCCTCTTGCTCTTTGATGTCCAGCTGTAAAATTGGTGATCTCTTTTTCCTCGAAAGTATGACTTTTACCATTTTTACTTTCTCCTCTTCTTCCTGAATTATATAATGTTTCTTGGATTCTTTCACACTGTTTGAGGTATCACCACGAATAGACTGTTTGTATGCTATTTTTCCTCTATCTGATGACTCCTGGAGTTCTGTTTGTAGGAAAGAGGGTCTTGTTTTTATTAGCAAGGCTTCTTCCCCTTTTATTCTTGTGTCCACTTCTGAGTAAGGTGGAAAAGAGATGGAAACACGAGATTTGCTCTGAATCCCAACTGGTTTATCTTGATCTTCCTGCATCTTTTTCTCTTTTTCTTTGATGTTCAACTGTAATTCATGTGCAACTGGAGTCCGTTTTGCCTTCAAAGCTATTCTTTTGGGATGCCTGATTTCTTCCAAAGCCATTTCCCCTCCATCTTTCTGTGGCATATATTTTGCCTTTTTTATACTGCTTAAAATATCATCAGCTGGCTCTGCACATATTCCCATTGTATCTGATAATTCCTGGAGCGTCAGTGATGGAGGACAAAATCTTGTGATTCCTCGCATGAGCACCTCTTTTATTCCAGGATCCCAACCCACATGAGGTGAAGAAGGAATGGAAGCAAGGCGTTTACTCTGAACTCTGTCTGGATCACTTTTATCTCTCTGCCTCATTTCCTCTTGTTCTTTGTTCTTCCACTGTGGTTCTTTTCCATGCAGCGTGTGTTCAAAAGGTGTTTTCCTTCCTTTAAAAGTGACACATTTGAGGCCCCTTAGGTCTTTCACATATACTCCATCTTCTTTTTTTCCCTGCGGCAAATGTTTTGATTCTCTTACATTGCTTAAACTACCTCTATTAATTGACTCTGCAAATGAAGGTTTCCTGACATTTGGTGATACCTGGAGCTTTAGTGGTGGAAGGCAGCTCCTTGGTATTCCTGACTTATCTTGTCCTACTTTTATTCTTGAATTCACATTAGTATGCGATAGAGACCGTAAGGAAGTACACAAGCTTGTCAGTTTCATACCTGATTGACCTTTACCTGTGTGCACCTTGCTCTCTTTTCCTGTTATGAGCGAGCTAATTTTTTCTCTACTTGGAATGTAATCCACAGTGTTAGCTACTTCTTCTGATGCCTTCTTTTCACATGGTATCTTACTCTGTAATACATCCCTCAAAGAGTGAGAAGCAGACTTTGGAGAAATATAGTGTATACATTCTGGATGCTCTTCTTCTTTTCCCTCAGCAAGCAAGCCAATTCCTTCTGTATTTGCAGTGTGGTAGGTTGGAGTCTTTAATGTTTTTTTTACACATGGCAACTTAATCTGAAGTACATCCATCGAGGAACGAGAAACAGATTTTGGGAGAACCTTGCACGTACTTTCTTTTTGATGTTCTTTTCTTCTATTATGCAAGCTAAGAGAAGGTTGATCTACTGGAGTAGCTGCTTCATTCAATGCTTTGTCTACTACTGAACTCAAAACTTTTGAACTCACTCCTTTCGCTGAGACTTTTTTCTTCAGCTTTTCATTATAGAGTTGATCCAACATGCAAGAAGAAATGGATTCCAGAATATTTTCTTTATTCTGGTTAGAACTACGTAGTTGCTTCGCCCCCAGTTTTTCAGAAGTCACTTTCTGTCCATTTAATCTTAATGGAATATCTGTTAACTTTGATTGCTCTTTTCTCCCTGGATTTACACGTAAACTTAGAGAAGGGCTTACATCTTCCTTCTTTGTATTTACTGCCTGTGTTACCTGAAGACGCTCTTTATTTGGGCGGGACACAGACTCCACAATACTTTCAGGAACACCAGCTGGTTTCACCTCTCCTTTCTGCGCTGCAGACATAGTTTGCTGGCCCACCAGATTGGTACAAAGAAACTTCTGTCCTTTTGAACCTTGTGAGATATCGGTTTCTTTTATATCTTCTCTTCTCAATAAATGTGAAATACTCCTTTTGTTAGTGTATATATCTTCCTCAGCTACCCTTCCTGTGTTCTTCAAACGAGGGGGTTCCATAATGGGGTAGGCAAAAGACCCCCGAATTGTCAGTGAAATACTTCCTTGTTTCTGAAATTCTTGCTCCTTGTGAGTCTTCTGTTGAGAAGCACCCAACTCTGTAAGAAATATATTCTGTTCTTTTGAATTTAATGAAATATTGTTTTTCTTGGATACTCCTCTCCCCCATGGAATTGAAACTGAACATTTGATGACGTCTGCATCTTTGTGCTTTACTCTTGGAGCAACAGGGAATTCACATTCTGCACGAGTTCTGATTCTTGGGATGTTGAACGTAGTATAATTGATTTCTCTCTTCTGGGAAGCTAGACCAGGGTATACTTCCCTTTTCAAAGCTACTCCTATTTTCACATGGTCAAGCTCCTTCTTCGCACGTTGGCCAGTCACTAACTGATCTCTACATTGTGGGAGAATGTCTCGTGAAACAATTTGGCGCTTTTCTTTTTGCTCTCTAATGCGTTGTTTCAGTGTTTTGATATTTCTTGAGATAGCACTCTTTATATCAGTGGACTCTGAAGATGACATTTTTCTTTTGTTTAGTGACTTCTCCAGCTCTAGCTGTGGAGGAACGTTAATGGGCTTTCTTGGCCTGGATTTCTCCCTTTCTACTTCTGTAAATTGTTTACTTTGAGATGAAAGAGATCCAGAATCACAAACAGTGTTCAGAAATAAATCTGCTATGGTTTTATCTTGCCGGAACTCCTTCTGTTTCTTAATGTCACATCTCCGTTCCTTTTTGTTTCTTCTGGTTCCACATCCTGTAGTATTAAACAGCTGGGAGACAGGTGGTTTCTTTGCCTTCAATTTCATCCGTCTGATATGCATAGTGTTTTTCACATCTGCTGTTTTTGCCTTAGCTTTATGTTTTATGATTTTAGGATACATAGGTATGTAGGCATAAGCAGAACTAGCATTTGCTTTGTTTAGGGCATTTCTCTTTCCAGAAGATTCTTCATAGATATCCCAGGTACTAGGTGATGGCTCCATTTTTAGGTGTGATAAAATAGGCATAGAATCATATACAAATTTTAGGTCCACATTTAATACAGTTTTCTCTCTCCTTCTGTCTATCTTCTTTCCCTGTTGCTCATTAATGCTTAAAGCAGCGTGACCAGTGATATTAACTGGTTGTGAAATCACTAGCCCTTCAACTGGCAACTGCATTTGTGTTGGTTGTACATGACTAAATCTTGATATTCTGTCCATCCCGATTTTGAATCTGCTTTGTCTTTCAATGTCACAGGTATCTGGTGTGAAGTAAATGGTGTTTGGAAATGTATCAGCCACATTTTTACCTTGACTCATCTGTTGCATTTTCGTTTTTAAATTGGATCCAAGTTTTTTCCTGCGTTTTGTGGTAAACCGCCCTCTGATTTTAAGTATTTGTGAAATTGCTGGTTCCTTTCCCTTCAGAGTTAAACATCTGGGATTCAATGTGATTTTCTCTTCCAATAATCGTACTGTGTTTATCTGGCTTTCAGAGTCAGAGAAAATTGGTGTAAAGAAATCTATAGGCTCCAGGAAAGTTGTGGCTGAATTTTCCCATGACTCTGCCTTTTCCTCTGTAATATGACCATGCAGATTTCTGTGAAGTGTTCTGTTATATAGCGTGCCCCTTGCTGTTGCATCGAGGGAGTGTTCATCAGTCACTAACTTGGGTGGTGGAATCTTAGTTCCCTCAGCAGCAAGGAGTGATGCCTCGCCCACACCTTCAAACCACTGCGTTTTCATCTTGTACTGAAATTTGCACCCCTTCACCTTTCTATGGCTTCCTGTAATGCACCCTGTGATATTAAGCAACTGTGAAACTGATCGCTTCTTTGCCTTCAAAGTTACATGCTTGGGATTTATTATACTTTTCTTGCCTACAAACTCTAATGTGTAGCTCTGGCTTTTAGGTTCACATGAATCAAGGCTGGAAGAACCTGAAGATTTTAAGACTCTTACTAAGTCATTTTGATTCCATGCCTTTTTCTCAAAAATATAACTATCCCATTTTCTCCTAGGATTTCCACCCCAGAGAACGCCACATTGTATTGAACCAGTCTCTGATTTTCTTGCTTTTGGAAATGGAGTCTTTAGTCCTGCCATACATTTAATTCTTTCTTGAGTATGAAGACTTTTTTTCTCTGTTTCAACTTGAAGAAAATTCATCACGTGTCTAGAAACAGGCTCCAAAATAGTTTCTCTAAAGCATTTTTCTTGCCTCATTCTTTGTGCTGCACAAGACAAATTCCAAGTGCTTCTGACTTCTAAATTACTCAGTTCAGATTCTGATTGGTAAGAACCAAAATTTTTCATATGATGGGCACTGAAACTGAAGCGGTGGTTATAGTGTGGGACTGATTCCGATAACATTTTTTTGATATTTTCCTCTTTGCTTTCATGTTGCACATTCATTTTCATTGTGTTGCTGGATCTGTTTTGTGGATCAACTGAATTGGCCTTCCATACTTCCCTATCACATGGTGATTTTCCTAGCTCTGCAGAGGTACGGCTATATAGTGTTACTCTTGGTTGATCCATCTCTGCTTCTGATGTGCTATGCATTTCAGTATCTATTTTGTTATCAGTTGAAACAGGTGTGGGAGACAATAATGCATTCGCTATACTTTTACTTTGTTGCATGTCATTTATTGTAGATTTTAAGTTGTAGTTCTGTTCCTTTCTACAGTAGAGATTATCGTGTTCAGTGATATTAAGCATCTGTGAATAAAGAGCCTTCTTCTTTGCCTTCGTGGTTACATATTTGGGACGCCTAAGATTTTTCCTTCCTGAAAATTTTAATATCTTCTCCTGACTTTCAGAGTCAAATAAAACAGATATTGTGGACATCGTTAGTAAATCTCTTTGCAACACTCTAGGTTTCTTGGCACCCATTTTCCTTTTAGAGCTTTTATCACCTGGATCTACAAGTACTGAGTTCCCTGATTTGGTAGGTAAGATATTTTGATCAACTCTGTGTTTCATTACTTTTGGAGTTTTTATGTCTTCCTCTTCTTCTTCAGGTTGTAGGGAAACTGCAATGTGAACATCTAGCTTCCTTGCAGGGCTCCCATCAGATATAGTACTACACTCTGTTTCATCAGTTGAAAAGTAGTCAAATGCTGCTTTCCCTGATTTTGGACATGGAATCTTTTGACCTATTCCATATGGTATGTCTTTTTGTGATGGGATATTCTTGCTCAGCTCTTCAGTTTGAAATGGAATCAGAGGAGAACAAGGAGATTCCAATTTATTTTCTGAAACCAGTGTTTGTCGCTGCACATCCTGCTCTGTAATAAGCATATTTTGATCTTTTCTCCTTCCTATATTATACAGGAATTGGAGACCTGCTTCAAATAAAACTCTGTTGCCCTCTCTTTCTTTTGCATTTTGCAATCTTGATTCTGATGTGCTGCTTGAGTTGCTCCATTTATTAGAATAGGGACACAGTCTTTCCCCTTCATGTTGTTCTGGCTGTATAATATTGCTTTTATTTCTTAATGGGTCTCTCTTTGCTTTTACTTTTTTATGCGTTTTGATGGCAGGTGAAACGGGTGTAGGTGAAGGGAAGGTATTCACAAATATACCTGACATACTTTGAGACATTTCTTTGCCCATGTTTTCCAAGATGAAGTCCTGTTCCTTTCCTTGGCTAAGAGCATCAGACTTAGTGATGTTGATTGTCTTTAAAATTGATGCCATCTGTACTTTCCCATTTCTAGACTTGGGGATTTGTGCTGCATTTCTCCAACCTTCAAATTCAGATGAAGCTGGCATGGAGAAATCAAAGCACTTTAGGGTTCTCACTTGTAAATCCTTTTGCAACCTTGTCTTTCCCTCTGGAGTAGATCTGGCAAGTTCCTTCCTAGGGCCTCTTTCAGATGGGATGTCACTCTGTGTTGTAACAAATAAAGATTCAGGAATTGACTTCTCTAGCACTGGAGATAACATCTTTGGACCCTTTGCATATTTTAAGTCCTTTTGTGTTTTTGTTCTTTTTGGTTGCTTCTCAAGGGGAAGTGAATTCAAAATAGAGCAAGAAACGCACTGTAATACACTTCGTGTGAAAAGTGTTTGTTGCTGCAGCTCTGGGGCTGTGTTAAGTGGTTCTGGGATTTTTTTCTTTGCTGAATTCTTCAGTTCTAGTTCTGACTTCACAAAGTGAGGCTCCTTCATTTTACCAGCAATGAAACTGGAGTGTCGAGAAGTCCGCGGGGCTACTTCTTCACGTTGGTCTTTGACTTCCTTCGTGTCATTGGAGGCAGGGCCCCTCCTATCACTGGAATCAGCACAGCAGGCTCTCTCTCCATCTGGTGATTGCTCTTGCTGTTGCAGTTTGTGACTGAATCTCATTTTCCATGAAACATCTGACTCTTTTATTCTGTTATGCATTTTCATGTCAAGTAAAACAGGAACAGGAGAGGAGATGGCATTTAGGATCATGTCCGCCGTGGGTTTCCCTTGTTTCATCATGATTTTGAAGTAGCATTTGAATTGTCTTCTATGGCTTTGTGTGCCACGTTTTGTGATAGTAAGTGTCTGGGAAATCGCTGCCTTCTTTGCCTTCGAAGTTACCCATTTGAGACTCATTTTGTTTCTCTTGTCTATATACTTTAAATTGTTTCTCTTTCTTTTCAATGCAGGTAAAGCTAGTGTGGATGAATCCAAAGACTCCAGAATTGTTGCTGGTAATTCTTGTGCTAATCCTTCCTTTCTCTCTGCAATAAGATCTTCCAATACCCCAGAGCATTTTATATGAATTAACAAGTCAATAATCTGTGATTTCAGGGTCTTTGGACGTAGGTTTTTTAGATAACTATTCCCTGAGATTTTAAATGTTGGTGAAATTGGTGTCTTCCTTGCCTTCATAATTACACATTTGGGACTCATTTTATTTTTTAAGGCTCTACTTGTAAATGTCTTTCTCTGCCTTTTAGATTCAGATAGATCAGGTGTGGAGACATCCAAAGACTCCAGGACAGTTGCTTGTAGATCTTTTTTGAACTCTGCATTTTCCTCTTTATTGTGACGGTACAATTCCCCCATATGGCTCCCAACACTTAGGACACCACCTTTCATTGTACCCATTAAAACTTGACCAGTTAGTGATTTCTTTGGCTTTAGAAGAGGAAGCTTTGAACTTGCTGTATATATTGCACCATTTTGTGTCTGGTAGCTTTTCTTTGGCTTCTCTCCCTGCGTTGAATCTGTATGCGGCATTTGTTGTGAGATGTCTTGTTCAAAAACAAAGAGAATGTTCCCTCTTCCTTGGTTTTCTGACTGATGAAGGTCAAGCTCTTCCCTTTGGCCTGAACAGAATTTGAAGTGTTGGCTGTGCTGTAGAATTACTTTTAATGTCTCCTGTTCACTTCTTTCTTCCTCTGCATCTTGAAGACTGTTCTCTTTAGTGTCATCTGAAGTAATATTCTCTTCACGTGGTGATAATGCTTGCTTTACTTGTTTAGAACTGAGACTTCTTTCTCCTAACATACCTTTTTCTCTTTCTGCCATTTTTTCACCTTGATCCATCTCTTCCAATTTGGTTGTAGAGTTATATCCCAGTTCTTTTCTATGGTTTGGGCTAGCACCACCCTTAATACTCAATATGTATGAAACCGATGGTTTCTTTGCTTTTAAAATTCCACATTTGAGATTCACTAAAGTTTTCTCGTCTGAATTTTTTTTTAAATGTTTCTTCCTTTTGAATGTAGATAAAGCAGGTATGCAGAGATCAAAAGTCACTGTGTCTTTCTTTTCAATACCACCAGCCTGTTCTTTTTGATGATTTGCATCAGATGGGACACCATATTCTCTTGTAGAAAAAATGATTCCATCCATCTTTGCTTCCCCTGACTTTGGAGGTGAAAACCTAGCATAACTCTCTAGCTTTCCAAATTGAAACTGATCCAACATGGGGCATGAAGCAGAACCTAAAACAGCTTGTGTGCCATGTATTCGTGGTTGTTCCTGAATATTTATACTTCGTGGTTGTTTCAGTTCCTCATCTGATTTGACAAGGTCACAATTCTCCTTCTGATATGCATTGACTATAAAGCCTTGGCTATTCTCTGGAGCTGGTAAAGTTTCATGTTTCCCTTCCTCCTCTTTCTCATCTTTCACACTGTTAGTTAAAGTACTCACAATATAATCTGGGCAACCTACTTTTCTTCTATTTAGCAATTTCTGTTGCACTGGCTGCATATGATCAAGTCTTGCTATCCTCTGCATATCTGTCTCTACATTTAACCTGCCTCTCATTTTGGTGTTGGGCAAAATAGGTAAGTTGTACTGAATGACACTGAGAAATGCATCTGCCCTGTTTTTATTTTGTTGTGGATTTTTCATCTTCGTTTTAAAATTGCATTGCAGCCCCTTGCTCTGTGTACCATTAACCGTATGTGAAGCTGATGGCTTTTCCCCCCTAATAGTTCTGTATCTGTGACTCACAGTTATATGCTTCCTCCCTAAATCTAATGTATTTTTCTTTCTTTCAGATTTAGAAACAAAGGGCTCAACAGAATCAAAAGAATTCAGGCATGTCACTTGCAAATCTTTTGGTAACTCTGAATTGTTTTCCACAAAATAAGAATCTAATACCCTCTCAGAGTTTCCACCATATGGTAAGGCACACTCTGTCATGGTGTTCAAACGTGTATCAAGTGATGAATTCTCTGCTTTGGGCGATGGAATCTTTGGACCCATAGGGGCTGTTACGTCATTTTCTGTTTCGCTGGTTTTCTTGAGTTCCTCAGCTTCTCGAGGACCCTTCTGGTGGCCAGTCTGCAAAGCAGTTTGTACAAACCATTCTTGGTGCTGTGCATCTTGCTCATTAACAGACAGCTCCTGTGTTAAACAGTCCAGTGCTGAGTCTGGTTCGTCAAAGTGGGTCTCCTTCCCCTGACAGGCATCAGGCCAGAGATACTGGGTATGCTGTGAAGCTGCTTCTAGCAAAGTTTTTTGCTCCACTTCCTCTCCATCTTCCACTTTTTCCTCTCGGTCATGGAATGCTCTGCTCTTGTCAAAAAAATCAACATACCGTGGTCTCACTTCCCCTAATTCCCCTTGCTTTAACTGAGCATGACAGAAGCTCTGCATGGGAGAGTAAAGGGTATTTATAAATTCATATAGCAATCCATTAGCTTGGTTGATCTTCTCCAACTTGGCCTTATATTTGGAATCCAATTTCTTTCTCTGACCTGTGCTATTAAATACTTGTGACACTGACGGCTTCATTGTCTTCGTATGTACAGATCTGGGCTTCACTGAACCTTCTGTGGGTGAGAATCTTACTTTGTTTTTATTCATTTTAGAATGAGTTAAAATAGGCATGTGGCAATTAAAAGTCTCTGGAAAAGTTGCTGGTAAATCTTTTGGTAATTCTGCAGAACTTGTTTCTGCAGAAAAGTAACCCATTTCCCTTGTATCACTTCCATAGTCTAGAACACCACTTTCTCTTGTTCGGTTTGGAGGGTCTCCAGCCAGTGATTTTTCTGATGTTGGGAGAGGTGTCTCAGAATCTGCAGTGCATTTTAAGTCGGCTTGTGTTGTTAGGCTTTTCTTCATATTCTCAACATGAGTTAGATCCATTATGGGAGAGTAAACAGACTCCGTAAGGGTTTCCATGAATGTAATTGGTTGAGGTATGTCTTCCTCTGCTTTGAGCTCCTTCTCTGGATTGGCATCCAATCGGAGGTTCCAGCTGTCATGAAGGACTGCTTCTGGTGGAGCTTCTTTGTCTCCTCTCACTTCATCTTGCAATTTAACTTCTTCTAATGTGTTGCCAGAGTCACTGCCTTTATTAATAGAATCTGAATACTTTTCTTCCCTTTCATCTTCTGATTTCTCTTGTTTTAGCTTGCTCTGACTGCGATTCTCTGCACTTAATCTGCCATGTGTTCTAATCCGAGGCAAAATAGACATGTGAGGGTAAGTAACATTCACAAGCACATCTGCCACAATTTTATCTTGCAGCATCTCTTTGATTAGGATTTTAAAATTGCCTCTCAATCTTCTCCTAAGACTTGCAGTACCATGCCTTCTGATATGAGGCATCAGTAAATTGGTTGGCTTCTTTACTTTCATAATTACAGATTTGGGACTGAGTACCCTTTTTGCTCCTGATAATTTTTTTCTAATTTGCTGCCTTTTAAAATGTGATAAAGGAAGCATATAGATAATGAAAGACCCCAGGGCAGTTGCAGGTAAAACTCGTTGGAGGTCTGACTTTTCTTCGGTAATATGATCATCCGGTATCTTTCTGGGGCTTCCACCAAATGGGACACCACATTCTGTTGTTTCAATTAAAACTTCGCCAACTCGTGGGTTCTCTAGCACTGGAAGAGGATTCTCTGGATCTGCAGTTCCTCTGCCTGTAGGTCTGTCTCTGCTTTGCTTTACCTCAATTTGAAATGGATCCATCGTGGGGCACGGACTAGTCCCCAAAACTGTTTCTGTAGGAAGAGTTTGTGGTTGTACCTCTTGCTCTTTACTTTGAGTTTTTCTGCTTCCTGAACTGCTCTGTTTTATTTCAAATCTGACATATTTAGGCTTCTGCTTTAGTTGCAGGCTGAGGCTGAAATCTTGTGTTAGCTCTGGAAATGCTTCTTGAAAAGTTTGTTCTTCTTCCTCTCTGTCATGTTCTTGTGGCTTTTTAAATATACATCTCTTCTCAATGTATTTTGCATCCCATGTTTTCTTTTCATCTGGTAATTTCTCCAGCTTTACCACTGAATGACTAACCCCTGTTGTTGATGTATCTGTCTTGCCTTTTAATCCGCTATGCATTTCCCTCTCAGGTGGTTCAGGAATGGTAGTGTTGGTGGCATTCTGAAATGTAGCAAATATTCTTTTACCTTGCATATTTTTTATGTTGCTTCTAGTGTTGCGTTCCAGTCCCTCACTTTCACTTAGGTTATCACATCCTGTAACATGAAGTGTTAGTAGTGGTTTCTTTTCCTTCATAATTACATCTTCTGTACTGTCTTGAGTTTTTACACTTGCTAATTGTTCACTGCCTTCGTGCTCTTTGATTCCTAGTGTTATAAGGAGATTAACCTCTGAGGTCTCCAGAACAATTTCTAGAAAATCTTTTTGCTTTTGTGTGTTTCCATCTGGAAAGCACTTTTGCATTTCTGGTGAACTAGTTGGTAACTTTTCTCCACTTGAAAGTGGAAGACGGGAATTCTCTGTACTTTTTAAGTCTTCCAGTGTTTTCAGTCTCCTGTTTGATTCCACTTCGGGAGAGGAGACAAATTTTTGCCAACGTTCTGATAAAGCTTCTTTTAAAGATGCCTCCTGCTTTGGAATATGCAGGTCAGATGTTTTTTTACTATTTGGGGCACGAAACTCTGCAATACCAATTTCCTTTGCTTGTGTAATTGGGTCTTCAAGAGACTCTTTATTCTTCCAGGTCATTTCTATTAAGGAAGAACAAGGTGATTGTAGTTGAAAAGTATTGATCATGAAAGACTGTTCTAGCTGAGGTGGGATTTTTGGTGAAATGGTTATTTGTCCTTTATTTTCTCTGCCATGCTGCTTTTTATTTTTAGTACTGCCTGAGGTTCCTCTTTTCTCAATAGACCCCACATAACTGACATTCTGTGCATCTGGTGACAGAGAATGTCTACATCCTATTACACCTGGCATGACTTTTACTAGTTTTTTTCTGGCATACTTCTTAACATAAGGAGGAATAAGCTTGGAAACATAAGTAAGATGCAAAGCCATATCTGATATACCTTTCCTTTGATGTAATTCTTCTTTCTTAGCATTATACTTGCATCCAAAATTGCTAGGTTTTGAAGTGTGACATACTGTCATTTGAAATACCCGTGGAGTTGGTGTTTTCTTTGACTTTTGAGATGGAACTTTGAGACTAAGTTTACTTTTACTGTGTAATGTTTTTCTCCTGTTTTTCTGCCTTTTAAGGATAGGTGAAAGAGGCCCTGAGCCATATGCAGAATACTGACTTAATTCTGATGAAGCAATTTGTTTCTGGCCCTCTGGCTTTATACTCTTTATTTGTAGCACCTCTTCTGCAAATGAATTTGGACTTAGAGTTAAAATTAGAAATCTGGCATTCTTAAAAATGGCATTTTGCCCCCGAATTAAATATTTAATCTTGTTTGAATCTTTAAGCCAAACAGAATACTGGGCCTTATCGAAGTGTTTATCAGACTCTAGGCCTTTGACTGAATCTTGAGTCTCAAAAGAATATGAGACATTGAGCAAATGTTGGCTTCTGTCCATATCTTGGGTCTGGGAGGAATCTTGCATGCTGCTGGAAAATGGCTTCCTCACCAAATCTTGAGGTAGAGCAAAGTATCTGGCCATGATATCAGACTGGCTATTGACTGATTCTTGGTTGTTAACAAATTGTTGGGCTTGACTAGTATATCTGGCTTCATAAAAATGTTGATTCTGAGGAGCATTCTGTCCTGGAAAGGAATCTTGTGGTTGGGCAGAAATACCTATTTTAACAGAATGTTGATTCTGGATCAAGGACTCTTGAAGTCTTGAGTATAGATAAGTAGTTTTACTCTCTAATGTAGTTTTGGATTTTAAAGCAGTTTGATTTCTCACATTTTCTTCCAGAAGTCTGACTTGGTCTCTAGAAAGAAATAAGTGGGCAGGAGGGCATGGTGCCACATTGAGATCTTCACTTTCTATAGTGATTCTAGAACTTCTCGAAAAGTTAAAGTCAGAAGAAAATACTAAATTTTTATTTTTGTTGGTTTTCATTATTGAAAATAATTTCTTGAATGAAAATTGTACTGTTTCTTGTTCATTTTCTGGATACCCTCCACAGCTTGGAGAAAATTCCTTTACTTCTGAACGAAACAGTGACAAAGATGAGCTAGTCCCATTTGAAGATATCATATGACTTTCACTAAAGTGACTTACTTGATATTTACTTTCACTGCTACTTGACCATATTACTTCATCTGGTGTTGAAACTCTATCTTCAAAGTCACCTTCATTTTCTTCAGATGTAAGTGATGAAGTAATTGTTCTTTCTGAAAAGTCATCAACTCTGAATATAAGAATACAGTATGTAAATGAGTTGTCACTTAGGACATATTGCATACAAGAACTCTCTCTAGATTTATGGAAACCCAATATAGTATATGAAAACATAGCTCAACAGAAAGATAAATTGAAAAGTCATTATCCACATTACAAAACAATTCATAACCTAGTTTCATTCATTTCATAAATCAATCCACTGACAAAGTGAAGTAAATTATTTTCATTTCTCAGAGAATGGGGGATTTTTTTTTACCTCAAAAATCCATCCAAAGTCTATTTTTGGCAGCAATGAGTCAAAGTTGTAGGTTAAGATTATATCCTTTTACAGGAGCACCTGGGTGGCTCAGTTGGTTAAGCGTCTGCCTTCAACTCAGGTCATGATCTCAGCGTCCTGGGATCGAGCCCCATGTCGGGCTCCCTGCTCAGTGGGGAGTCTGCTTCTCCCTGTCCTTCACCCCTCCCCCTGCTCGTGCACTCGCTCTTACGATCTCTCTCAAATAAATAAATAAAAGCTATAAAAAAAGATCATATCCTTTTACAAAGAATAAGTTTGTTTCTGCTCTCTGTATGAAAGTTTTGACAAGGATAAAAATATTCTTATGAAAATTTAGATACAACAGAAGAATGTCCAATACCATAAGCAGTGTTTTCTATAAATAAATCCGAATTATTTTAACAGCTATTTCTGATTGAGAGAAAAGCCTACATTTTAGGGTAGTGCTTCTCAGCACAACTTTAGATTGGAATAATGATCATGGAAGTAGACTCTCCACCATCTATCTACATCAAGCAATGAGGCTAAGTCTAACAATCATCTCATTTCCAAGTGACTAGGTTAGGAGCGGGCATGAACTAATCCTAGCATAAGGCAAAGACTTTTAAGGACTTGTGGAAAAAGTTGCCCCATTCCTAAGAAATGATCTCTTAGTTCCTCTGGACATTGCTGTTCTGATTTTGAAACTCTAGTGGTCACCTTTCTACCCACCTCAAGATAAAACTAACACTGAGAAAGGCAGAGGGAGAGATACAGGACCTCAATGAAGTTGTTGAGCCACCGTATCAACCAATTCTGCAGCCTAGTCTAACTCAGGATTTTCTATTATGTAATACTCTTATGTATGGCAGTTTGAATCATGGTTTTCTGTCACTTGAGAATTAAAATATCCTAACTGATATAGGCAGGACATACAATCATTCTGGGGAATCAAGTGACCCCAATAAATTATAGCAGTGTCCAAACATAATTAGGATAAAATTTCATCAGGACAAGAATATAATTATTCACTTAAAAAAGTAGAACAAAGAGTGAAAATATAATACATAAAAAGAATTAATTTTTACACATTTCAGGAAAGAGAGGAAAGCCAAAATGCAAGACAGGTATTTCAGCAATGCAATACTGTGTTTTTAAACATAATAAAACAATGCTAGATAATTTTCATATGTTGAACCAGCTGTGCATTCCTAGGAACAATCCCACTGGATCATAGTGTATAATCCTTTTAATATGTTGCTAGATTTGGTGTGCTAGTATCTTGTTAAGGATTTTGCTTTTCTATTTATAAGGGATACGGGTCTGATATCTATCTTGTATACCAGCTCCACATACTCTCCATTTGACAAGCTTCCAGGCCATCATAATTCTCCTGGTTTTCCTCCTCACTTCCTGGTAGCTCCTTCCCAGTCTCCTTTGATGGCTCCTCCTCTTCTTTCAGACCCCTTTGAAGTGTCTCAGGGCTCAGTCCTTGTTCCTTTTCTCTTCTCACTGTCCCTTTGAAATTCCATCCTCTCTTGTAGCTTTTAATATTGTCCATAAGCCAACAACCCCCAAACTTATTACCTCTACCAGACATCTTTCCCGAACTACTTATTCACTACCTCTATTAGATATCAAATTAATATCCCTAATTCAACAAATAGGAAACAAAATTCCTGATCTCCCCATCAAAACCCGCTCCACCCACAGTTTTCTTCATCTAGGTTGACGACAGCTGCACTTCCTACTTGCTCAGGCCAAAACTCCTGGGGGTCACCTTTGCATCCTCTCTCTCACATCCACACCCTGTTGGCTCTACTTTTCTAAGTATATCCTGAAACCAACCACCTCCACTGATACCACCCTGGTGTCATTTACCTTTATCTCTCACTCTGGGTTACTTGCAATAGCCTGCTATCTGCTTAGACCCTTGACCAAATATAGTCTACTCTCAACACAACAGGCAGAATAATACTTTAAAAATATAAGACAGAACATATCACTTCCCTGTGCAAAACTCTACAGTGATTCTCCATTGTTACTGAGAGTAAAAGCTATTGTCCTTAACATAGCCGAAGAGGCCCAACCATGATCTGGTCACCAATTACTTCTTGGACCCCATCCTCTATGTCACCCCCCCACTCCCTGCACCAGCCACACTAACCTTCTTACTGTTCCTAAAACACTAGGCACACTCCCCCTTAGGGTCTTTGCTCTAGTTGGTCCTGCTGTCTGGAATACTCTTCTACCTGATCTGTTTGCTTAACTCCCCTAACCCTTCAAGGCTTTAGTCAAATCCCACTGTATATATTGCATCTACCTCTCCTCCCCTATTTCCAGCACCTCATTCCTCTTACCCTATTCTATCTTTTGTTTTACCATAAATCCTATCATGTTCTGTCATATTATATTATTTCTTTATTTATCCTTTTGTTTTTTATTATCAGACTTCCCTCCGACTAAAACGTAAGGCAGGAGTCACTGTTGTTTTTATACACTAATATATCTCAAGGGCATACAGCGATGCCTGGCACATAGCAGGCCCTCAGTAAATATTTGCTGAGTGACCACTCTTTGCTGTAGGTTTCTGATTACTAACCCTCATCCACAACAAGCTGACCCAGACATACAACCCAACCCTTTCTTTTAGTTCAGTAAGGGGGGAAATCCACATATACAAACCACCCATCAAAGTGGCTCAGAGCTGAAGGCAGAAATGGAGGGGAGTTGGTTACAGCAATACAAATAACACCCACTTAAACATTGGTTGTGTCTCAGGGCGCCTGGGTGGCTCAGTTGGTTAAGCGACTGCCTTCAGCTCAGGTCATGATCCTGGAGTCCCGCATCGGGCTCCCTGCTCGGCGGGGAGTCTGCTTCTCCCTCCGACCCTCTTCCCTCTCGTGCTGTCTCTCATTCTGTCTTTCTCAAATAAATAAAATCTTAAAAAAAAAGAACATTGGTTGTGTCTCCCCATTTTTGCAATGTCCTTTGGCCTCTCCCAGCAATCTCAACTGGTCTTGGAAAATTTATTTTTTATTTTTTTTAAAGATTTTATTTATTTATTTGACAGAGAGAGCACGCGTGTGCACACTCATGCACACAAGCAGGAGGAGGGGCAGAGGGAGAGGGAGAAGCAGACTCCCTGCTGAGCAGGGAGCCCAATGTGGGGCTCGATCCCAGGACCCCGAGATCATGACCTGAGCCAAAGGCAGACACTTAACCACTGAGCCACACAGGCGCCCTGGCCTTGGAAAATAAAGAAATCCCCACACTCCTAGGAAAAGACTGACAGTTCTCCAAGCCAGGGTAACAAGTAAATACCAGAAGTAGTTGTAAATCCGTTAAACCACTCAATGGAATATAGTCCTAGTACAGTCCTAAGGTCATGGTAACAAATACCAATTCTGTTTTTAAACATTTTTATCAATGATAACACCCTTTAGGAAATATGCTTCTGAAAACAACCAGTCAGTGACAGCTCCAAGCTTTGAAAGTCATATAATGGTGGCAGGCTTTCCCAACACACTTCTAAGGCTGATGTCAACCCTGAAACAAACCATTCCCCAAAACTGGATCAATGTCTGCTGGAGCAGTTTGCTTTGCTCACCGAGACTACACCTGGCCAGCAAGACTCTCCCTGATTTCAGACAATGAGTGGTGGTCTCATCCTTTGATGTCCTTTAACACCATTCAGTACCGAGTCTCAGGTCTTTTCCCCTGCTCCTCCCTCCTCTCTGCCCATCCCTCCACCCTTCTCTTCTCTCCCACCTAAGACAGAATTCACTGTCTCCGATGCGATGCACTTTGACCAGTGTGATGCCTGGGCTTCCACCAATATTCAAGCAGTTTCACTTCAAAATAACTTAAGATGCTCTCCCAAATATGGTTCTGCCCTCAAAAATAGTTCTGGCGCCAGGGCAAAGTATTTTTCCTTTGTTACACATATCATTTTAGCGAAATCTTCATGATTTCCTAAGAGGTAATTCTTCTAACTGCTATTTTGAAAGTAAGGAAATGGAGTATCGGTGAGTTTAAGCCTAAGACTATACTGTCATTAAGAGGCAGAACTATGACATAAACCTAGAGTTTTTTAAATTCAAATTTGTGTTTTTTCACTATAATATGTTGCCCACCATAGGAGCCATATCTCTTCCCTAACAGTAGTCACAATTTATTGCATATACCCTGCTGTTTCTTATTTCCTTGCCTCTACTCATGTCCTGGAATGCCCTCCTTATCCTCCTAACCTGCTAGCTTTTCTAATTTTCACTCATCCTTTAAAATTCAGCTCCAGCGTAACCTTATTCATGAAGCCATCCCCAACACCCTATGCTGGCTTAGGTATCTCCTAAATGTTTTCCTAATGCTTCTATCACTGTGTTATCATACTGCAAGGCAATCATCCTTTATGTATTTATCTCCTCCACAAGAATGTAAGCTTCTAGAGAACAGAGACTGTTTTATTGTTCGTATCCCAATATCAAACACAAAGTCCATTGTAGAGTAGATATCTAATGATTCTTGAATAGATTTTGATATGAGCAATTAAAATATTAATAGCAATAAGAATAGTGATGTCATATTTAATCCCTAGCACTGGAATATCTTCGGGATGCTGATGGATTCTGACTGTATAAACAGAATGTCACTCTTGCAATACCTAGCTCAGGGTTTGCTTGGTTCACAGTAGGTAGGTGCTAAATGATATTTTTTTCAACTGAGTTATCAGAACTGGTGTTACAACTTATTCATGTGTACGGGAGAGAGAGGTTGGATAGGGAAGCAAGTTACTAAACCTCAGTAAACTTTTTCCTCATTTGTAAAAATAGCAATAATACTACCTACTTGGAAGGATAATTTTAATAGTACATGAAAGATATTAACACAGCTTGGAACAGAGCAACCATTAAAATCAATGTTAGATGCAACTGATGATTAACTGAACTCTACATCTGAAACTAATGATATACTATATGTTGGCTAAATTAATTTCAATTTTTAAAAAATGAAAAAATAAAATAAAATCAATGTTAGATTGAATTATGATGTCAAGTAGCTGTGGTCCTCTATACATATGGAAAATCCTTTTCTGTAATTCAGATGTAAATGCAATTTTGAATAGCACAAAACCAACCTGTTTCATTTAATTTCAAAATATATCACTTACCTTTCTTCTGAAGATGAAGGAATTGGACAGTTATCTAGAGATAAGTGGGAATTAAAAAAAAAGGTCAGAGCACCAATAGGAGAGGCTCAGGTTGAACACGTTTTATATTAAAATATGAAATTATATAATATTTACCAAATTGCATGCTTTTCAGGCAACTGTCTTCCTTCTATTTCAAGGGAGATTAATAAACAAATGTTAGAGGAGTAATCCAAATATCAAAGTTCTACAATTTTATGTTATTCTTATGTATGATTCTGAAAAATAGGAGAGAAAGAAATCAACCATTTGTTCTTACCTCCTGGGCACTTGAACTACCCTTTTCTGGAAGTGCAGGCTTCTTAGTAAAGGATGTACAGATCTTTATGAGTATGATCTCAACAATAATCCCTAGGAAAATTATAAAAAAGATTGCCACCCAATCATTTTGAGTCCAGGACTCTACAAGTTCCCACAATGTCCAAAATGTATTATCTTCCAGTCTATTCTGCACTGCTTTTTTAAAGAAATAAAATTGCTTTGACATTTTTATGTAATATGGGAGATAGGTTGATGTCTCATTCTGAAGTCTTCAATTTTGGATGCCCCAAAACACAAAAAGGTGGTATGCCCATCTTGTAACCACATGCAATGCTCTGCCAGAAGAAAACTTCCAGTGCTGCTCCGTGTCTCGACCAAGTGCAGCAGGGCCTGCTCTGGGCCTAAGTAAAGGGAGGTACGTGTCATAGTGGGTATTCAACTGAGCTCATGTCAACTTACTTTAGCAATAATTAAAGTTCATTGATGAGACATGTATGCTGCTTTAGTTTTTGTAATTTAAAAATTTTAAATAATCCTTTATTAATTTCACAAAAAGAAAATAATTCTATAAACAATCCCTTGGATTATTACTACCCTGTAATTCCAGAACAAATTTGAATTAGACATAACCCACCAGGAATACTGTATTTTATGCTTGTGATTAGGAAAATAGGTAGTTTTGCCAGATTTAGTAAAAACAAAACAAAAAAAATAAAACTAAATGCCCCAGTTTAAATTTCAGGTAAATACCAAATGATTTTTTAGTATGTCTCATCGTCACTAGGTAGGACATGATAGCTTGTCTCTTATGGGCCTGCCTGATTTTTTTTTTTTAATAGGATGTCTCATTTTATTCTTTTAGCTAGAGGGGTCTGTTAGCAATGTTCCTTAACGATCTACTGTTAATGCTGAAAACCAAAGTTAGATTTTGGAATGGTCTGTTAAGCGTCTGCCTTGGGCTCAGGTCATGGTCCCAGGGTCCTGGGATCGAGCCCCGCATCGGGCTCCCTGCTCAGCGGGGAGTCTGCTTCTCCCTCTAACCCTCCCTCCTCTCATGTGCTCTCTCTCTCTCATTCTCTCAAATGAATAAAATCTTTAAAAAAAAAAATGTTGGAATGGTCTCCTGGTGAATTCCTTTTCGCCCTGTCTCTGGTGATTCCAAGGAACAGCTACTGGGAGGCTTTCTGATGTCAGAATCAGCATGGAGTAGAGCCGGCTTTAAGTACCGCTCACTTGCCCTCAAAGTCTAGAGAGTAGGTGTATAAGTTTACAGTCCAAACACAAGACAGTCTAGATTATTAATGAAAAGTGTTAACACTACCTTGGATTTAGAGTACTTTCTCTTTGAAGATTAATTCTCTCTTTGTCTTCACTTATTCAAGGTGGGTTGAGGAAAGAAGTATATTCTTTTCAATGGAGTTAACTCTTCAGGTCTCTTCTGTCATATTAAGTATAACTGAGTGAAAGATTTATTGAGCTCTTACCTTCCTGGGGTATTGGAAATAATGAGCTCAGTGACACATCCTAAGCCTCAGAGTTTTAGTCTCTCAGTCTACCAGAGTATAGCCTACAGGTATTTACAATCTTTACTTAGGTTTAACTATGACCTTGGGGTTTGTCTTTGCAAAGGATAGCCCTCCAGAATGCAGGGCAGGCATTCATTAGTTCTTGAAGAAACTTCAGCAATTCCTCTGGATTTTTCTGGGATAAAGTATACCCGCCTCTTTGAGCCCCCATCCACATACACAATCAGGGTGATTTATTCTGCTGGGTTTTTCTATAGAATTTAATGCAGCTAGCAAAATACTCAATTTCTCTTGCCTGATAGCAGGCATTCTCGAATTCATTTAATGTTAACTACTGTATTCAATGTTTTAACGCTTCAGAGCTCCTTAGATCTTTCAGAGCTTTATGGCACGGAATGCCTGATTTGTATACCACAGACCAGCTCTGTAAGAACTGAAAAGGAACTTCTGTGTACCACTCCTGCTGAAGGGGAAGAACGTAGAGGTAAAAAGTATCCTCCATTAGGGCTTTGCATGTTTGTTACCTATGTACTTGCCTACTTTAAAAAAGGTACAATCACCTAGTTCTCAGCAGACATCTCTGTTCTTTACACCAGAAACGTCTTCCCATGTCAATCTCAAGTACGCTGCATAAGAGTAAAGTGCTAAGCTGGATCTATTTTTAAAAATTATGAAGACAATAAAAAAATAAAATAATGAACACCAGAGAAACCCCATCACTAACAGTAATATAGACACCATAAGAGAACACTCCAAAAAATTCTAAGTTTTTTTTAAAAATTTATTTATTTATTTGAGAGAGAGAGAGAGAGAGAGCACAAGCAGGGGGAGCGGCAGGCAGAGGGAGAAGCAGACTTCCCACTGAGCAGAGCCAGACGTGGGGCTCAATTCCAGGACCCTGGGATCATGACCTGAGCTGAAGGCGACGCTTAACAGACTGAGCCACCCAGGCACCCCGAAAAATTCTAAGTTTTTAAAAAAATCTATTATGTCTATGAATGTTACATTCTTTACACTTTTTGGACACTGTGAACTAGGCTTTTTTTTTTATGTATCAGGAAAAAGTCCCAATAATAGGTGTATAAAATAGCAATACAAAACCAGAGATTGCTCATAATGGTTAAAAATTCTCCCTCTAAATATCTTAGTTCAAAACAACAAATACTGAATAATGAATATGTAAGGCACTGAACAACTAATTAACAAGTGCTCTATGGATACAAAGATCAGTAAAAACCATTCCCTGACATGGGAGTATTTAATATATGATGTGGCACAAATATGCCAATAATGTATTAAGAAGGCAGAGTGTGATTAACAACAAAGAGAGGAAGATATTATATGGGTTCCAAGGAGGGATACTTGGTTGCGGTAATTCAAAAAAAGCTGTAAAGAGGGAAAAATAATTTAAGGGTCTTAAAGGATGAGGAGGATTTGGTAACAAAGACCAACAAGAAAGTTTCAGGAAGAGGAGGCAGAAAGACTTTGTTCCAAAACTTTGTATACGCCGGGTTAACTGGAATACTGTGCTGTACACGTTCAGAGTATGGGGAAATGCACTAAAAAGTTGATACACCCTATTGCGGACAGCCTTGACCTAAAGACTTACTATAAGCCACTTTTGGAGATCCATCAGCAGTTTTTGAGTTGAGGGTGTCAAATTGGTTTGTTGAAGCAAGGAGACCACAAAATAGGAAAATCAGTTAGGTTACTGCAATTATGCAGATGAGAATTACTAAAGGCCTACATTAGAGTGATGGCAGTGTAAACAGAAGAGGGGATAAAACAACAGACTTTGAGACTGAAAACCCAGGGCTTGGCAACTTAAAGGAAGCAAATGGATTTGGAAGGGGGTAGAAAAGCTAATGGTAAGGGAGAAAGGATTTCACGATATTCCCATGGCTAAAGTTTGTCTAGGACAAGGTTCTCAACCTGGACACTACTGACATTTTGGATCAGATACTTCTTTGTTATGGCTGGCGGTCCTGTGCGTTATAGACTGTTAGCGGCATCCCTTTCCTCTACCTATCAGATGCCAGTAGCACCGCCACCCCCATTGTGCCAACCAAGTTTCCAGAGGCTGTCAAATGTCCCTTAGGGGGCAAAATCACTAGTTGAGAACTACTGGTCTAGGTAGCGGTTGTGCCATTAATCAGGGGTGCCTACCAGAGATGCCAGGACAGCTCTTTGACCATAATCTCAAACTTGAAGGGGCTGCTCATTTTTCCTGCAAGACATGGCAAATTTGTGAAAAGCAGCCGGAACCTTTTCACAAATGTTCATTTCAGCCTTACACAGATCCCTGATCTCTCTCTAGGAGTTATATGTTCCCCACCCCTGACTAGGTACACAGTTCTCAAAAGACAAGCCTTTTCATCAATCAGGAAGTTTCTTACAGGCCACTCAGGGAAAAAAATCAACTTTAAATGACCTACATTATCTCTGTATTTGTTATAGTATTTTTGGTCGTCTATATCATGCCTACACTTTATAATTTGCAAACTTGAATATTATAACTATATAACCTGGCTAGTAACCTTTTAAATTTATTTCTTCATTGTACTTTTATATTATGGTCTGCTCTATAATAAGTTTTCCTTTTCATTTTCCCATTAGTTTTACTTCTGATTTACAGTATTAATATTTCCCAATTGATTTATACTTGTTTATACACTATGACTGTATTTGTCAGCTCTGGATGTTTTTTACATGTTTATATTTTGACATCAGTAGTGTTTTAAAGTTCTGAATGTAAATCAATGATTAAATAAATACTATTTTTAAAAATTTAGGCCTTGAGAAATTTAGTCAAAAAGTAACTATTATACACTGAGGGAAAATTTGATTTCATAGTTTCATTCTACAACATAAAACAATTTGGACATTGTTATCTAGGCTTCTGTTCTTTATGTACTATTTAGAAAAAATTAACAAATAATTAAAATCTATTGACTCCATCAGAGAAAGAATGAGGGACCTCAAAAATCTGTAAGCTGCTCAGGCCACCCTGAGGTTGTCTGAAGGGCCTAATATTAGAGTATAAAGAAGCCAGGAAAAAGAATTAATACCTTACTATAGAAAACGACCCTTTACTACAAACTTATATATCAGCCCCATCACATTTTGTGCCCTTTGTAGGAAATACAGACACTATGTTTTTAATATATAGCTCAACACCACTCAAGTCCAGTCCAGGTATTAACTGAACTTTCCGAGCCAAAAGTAAGTACCCTAACTCTGCCTAGATACAGCACAGATGTTAGTCCCACGGTTTAGTTCTTACTTCTTTCTCCCCTTAATTGGAGAGAGGTCTAGACATCAGGTTCCTCCATTATATTTAAGCTCTTAAGTATTTACTCATCTTCACAAACCTAATCAGGCTTTGCCTGTAACAGGCCTTCAAGAAACATTTCTTGAATGAAAGCTACTTCATCACAAAAACAATGTTCAGAATCCCCATATTTGAAAATGTATCTTCCTTCCTATCCCGCGAGATTAAAAGATTAGGTGAATGAATGCATACATTCTATAAAACTGACTAAATTTACCACAGTAAACTGTTGTTTTCCTTTTTTAAAGACACTGCTCTGCAAAATTAAGAGTACTTTCTCAGTTGCATAGCAAATAAGACAAAAGTTCCATTGTAACAAAATTCAAATGTTTAATTTTTTTTCAAAACTTAACTATATTAATGAAAATAAATTATATTTAGACCACCTTCAATATTTGTACATCATCTTTATACAACAGTGCTTTCAAATGATATTTTATAAAGGACCTTAATTTCCACAATTAAAACGTATTTTAAAAATGGGGGAAACATTAAAGAACATTAAATTCATCTGAAATATCTCATAATGCTGAGGTGTGATGTTCTTTATCAAATGAACTGTATCTGTATTCAAAATAACATAGCTTTTAGCTAAATACAATTATTTCTTGTCCATTTCAGTGATTTCCTGGATCCAAAACAAAATCTGTGTATTTATTTCTTTGAAAACATCATTTGTTGACCGTCCTTTCACTGCCATGGAATGATTTGCCTTCTCAATCCAGTGGATTTTATTGGGAGCTTGCATTTTCTGTGCCACTTTCTCCAACAAGTTCTAAAGGAAAAAAAGAAGAGGATGCTAGACTAACGCTCTTTCAGGGTTTAATAAAGATCCTCCCTCTCCCCTGCACCGCCTATGCTGGCATCCATTCACTGAATGTTCATTAAATACCTGCCCTACAGACAACTTTCAAGGCAATGGAATATGCAAAGAGATGTCCACAGAAGTGGCAGTCCACATCTCTCAAATACAGCAATACCACAGAACAGATCAAGCACTCATTACTGACAATACATAGTAACATGTACAAGTTACTCTTTCTCGAGTCAGTTTTATAACAAACAGAAGAATCTGCTTAAATGCTGAAATGATAAATCAAATGTATGGTTTAGTATAAATCCCAAAATCACAAAATTCAGGTATTAATCTTTTATTCCCAATAAGAGTCAATCCATTTAGCAAGTCTTTCCAGGGAGATGAATTCTGTCAGCATGCTTAATATTTTTCAGTTCTCCAAAGCAACAGGTAACTAAGTCACAAAATTAGCATGAGTCCAATCAGGACCTTTTAAAGAGACTGAAAGTTGCAGATAACATCTTGTTCCCAAGACACTTTCATTCACTCTCTCATTTATGCAAACATCAAGTTATAATTCACCTTTTCACACATTTCATCTGCTGACCCTGACACAAACAATACAGGATCTTTTATACGATAGAGATCTTCATCTCTAAGTTTATGTTGCTGCTTTGGATGGTGCAGTGGGTAAGAAATACAAATGAGACCTCGAACAAAATCATCAGCATCATCTGGCTCAATATGGCACATTACAGAAGCAGCTGCTCTTGAGCCCATTGAACGACCTAAAATCAATTAAAATTAAGTTCAGTTTGAAATATAAACATTCATATATAGAAGTGATAATACGGCAAATTAGATTTCATTTACTGTTCATCCATCATGACTCTATCACTTAACTCCAAAAGGTGGCAATTAACAAGTTGTAATACCCATAATGGACATCCATAGCTTCATGAAATGCTAAAAATTGATCCCAAGTCAAAAAAAAGGAATTTTTTTTTTTTCCCCCTGAAGAATACTTGAGGTAAGGGGTAAGGACAATCCTTATGAAGAATCATTTGAGAAACAGTGACTCAGGGATATAAATAAAAGAAGAGCTCTTTGGGTTACAGTACATATTTATGAGATTTAAATTTGCTTTAAATATATAAAGTACCTTGATGTTATACAACAAAGTGACTTACCAAAACAAAAAAAAAAGTTGTTTTTTTTTTTTAAAGATTTTGTTTATTTATTTGACAAAGAGAGAGACAACAAGAGAGGGAACACAAGCAGGGGGAGTGGGAGAGGGAGAAGCAGGCTTCCCGCTGAGCAGGGAGCCCGATGCGGGGCTCGATCCCAGGACCCTGGGACCAGGACCGGAGCCAAAGGCAGATGCCTAACGACTGAGCCACCCAGGTGCCCCAGAACAAAAAATTCTTAAATTAGCTTCCTATCATCAATTAATTTTAATTCCTGATCACCTATTCCTATATCAGTATGAACAGATTTAAAAGCAAGTATTGCAACTTACCACCAAGGAAAACACCTGCCAGTTTGTATTCTCCTGAGGTCTTTAGGTAATTCTAGAAAAACCAACCAAAAAATTATCAGTTCTTCTTCTATGAAATATTCCACTGGAAAACCAACAAGTATTTCTCATCATTAGTGAAATGTATAAAACTCTTTGCAAAGACAACCATAAAATCTCAAGGGATTCTTCTTGAAAGAGGTAACGAGTTCTTTGCTCTTCTGGTCATGCTGTCACTACCAAATCATAGCTGGGTAAACACAGGCAAATAAATGAGAAAAAAAACTACTTGGCCTGTCTAAAAAAAATTAAAGTACGAAAGTATTTTTAAAGAATTACATTAAAAAAAACAGCCAGTAAAAGCTTCCAACCAATACAGAATAGTACTAAAATCTAATTTAAAGCCCTGAAAAACTTAGCAAGTTTGAAATAATCTGGATTTAAAAAATTTCAAATTTGTGTTATCCAGGGATTTTACAGTTTCAAAACTGTGCTATATTTGTACATTCATAGTATAGTAGGCAAATATCCAGAACTATATGCTGAAGTTATATAATTCCATTAAGAAAATTACATCATAGCTTCCTTGGTAGTACCATGAAAGAACATTTATGATGTGAGCATTCATCTCCATGGAAACTGAGAGCAAAGAGAAATATACTATACAGCCTTCATGTACTGTTGAGTTTCTAAGAATATTCATTAAAAGCTTTTTAAAATAAACCAAATGACTGCTAATAGAATTTGTCTTAAATGTATTAAGAATTTTAAAACAAAATTCTGTTATAAGTAAATATAAAGAAATTTTCTTACCAAAACTGATTTATATGCCTTAATTCTATGTACAATATTAAGGCCTTTACAGGTAAATCTCAGGCAAAAAAAACCATGAGATGCAAGATGGGATGCCAGTGACATCAAATGAGGAAGGTTCATATCTCCTGACGCTCCATGTGTAAGAATTATTCCATATGTTAAGCTCTTGTTAGGTACCAAACAAACAGCATCTAGTAATTTATTTCCAAAAGGTATTTTTAATTTAACCTGGAATTCAAGAGAATAAAGGGATCAAAAATTACTTCCTTGCCTATTCAGACAACTAAATAACTATGTTTGTTCTGTGAGGCCCATGATTCACATGGTCTCCAAATAAAAAGCAATATTAACATAGCTAATATTTAAGTACTTATTGTGTGTCAGGTACTACTATAAGTGCTTTATATGTATTAACTTATTTAACCTTCCTAATAATTCTATGAAGCAAGTACTTTTTATAGATGAGAAAACAGAGGCACAGCAGGTTAAGTAATGTACCCACGGTTATACAGCCACTAGCTATATAGGCTAGTGGCTAGGATTCAAACTCAGGCTGTTTGCTCCAAAAGTCCTTCCTTTAACCACTAATGCTATACCGTCTCTCACAGTACAAGTTAAAAATAAGAAAATTACTCTGGAGCCACATGACTTAAAAAAAAAAAAAGGAGCCCTGAAGATGCAGAACATATGAAAATATGTATTACCTCTGTATGACTCATTTTCACTGTTGAATAACAAACTTAAAGTGCATTACATCTGAGAAGCAAAGGACATCTCCCTGAAAAGAAGATTCTGTTGTGAAAGGTGGGTTGGCAGACATGGATATGACATAAGAACTATTAATGAACACATTCAGGAGCTGAAATTAACACATTTAGAACTACTTCTCTAAGAACTAGTGCCTTTACAGGTGCATTATTTCATTATTTTCAAACTTCCTAAAACCATGGGCACTCAGAATTGGGTTACAGGGCCAGGTGTGGGGATGGCAGATATTACGTAAGAAAAGCCAGTGTGATACCTTGACAAGGAAACCTTAAGAAAATTCGTATCAAAGTAGAATGCTGTATTTTGGCATACATGCATATCTTTTTTTCTAAGCATCTTTATTCTCAACCAACTACCTTCAACTTAATGTCAGAGTATTTTTCTATTAACCCATTTCTTTTATCATTATCTTTCCCAACTCCTCCTCCTACCCTGCAACAGAAGTATATATCCACACCCTTTGTTAGGTGCCTTTGCAGAGCCTCCCAGTAGGCGGAGCGTACATACATCTCTACCCTATTGACTTGGGGCTTGACTATATGACATTGCTTTAACTAATGGAATATATGTAAAAGTTGCAATGTGTCACTTCTGAGCAGAAACAGGGCAAATTTCAAGAAGCCCCCCTTGAACTCCCACCCTCAGCCATCAGAAGAGCACGTTCCAGGTATTTTTGCTTTTTCTGCCTGGGTCCCAGAACAAAGATACATGTTGCAGATACGAACCCAAAACTAAAGTTGGAGTCCAGCCTAATCCAGCCAAGATCTAAGCCACTGAAGAACCAAGAGCAGGAAATGTAGGCCACTGAGATTTGGGGATTGTTATGCAGCATTCCTTCTTATTGTAAGAGATCTTTTATTGTTCCGGGTATTACCAACATCAGGATCTCCACTATTCATCTATTATTTCCTGTTAACATTTATTTATTCATTCAGTGGATAACAAGAAGAGGGTTCAAGTTCAAAGGTACCAAAAATATACAGTGAAAAGCCTCTGTTATTCCTCTTTTGCCTTGTTATCCAGATCCCCTCTCCAAAGTCAGCTAATATTACCTGCTTCTTACATATCTTTCCAGATATTTTCTACATATATACACACACACCCCTCCTTTTAAAAAAAAAAACCCATGATATTTTTCTGAATCCCCCACCACTTAAAATCCACTTTGTGCTTACTCTTTTCTTTATACAATGAGCTTCTTTCATTGTATTTTATGGCTGCAATATACTCCAAGGAAGGTCGTACATAATTTATTTCACCAACCATTATCTATTAATGAACACTGAGATTGTTTCCAATCTTTTGCTAAAATATTGTGACGAATGGCATGTACTTAAATTATTTTCTCATGTAGACAAACCTATATAATAAATTTGTGGGGGAGGAACTGCTGTATCAAACGGTATATTCATCTGAAATTATATTTTTTAAGGAATACATTTGATTTTTGAATAGGTAATATATGCATATGGTACAAAATTTTAAAAGAACAAAAATGTAACTAGTTAAGTCTCCTCCCATCCTTCTCCCCCAGCCACCTAGTTCCTTTCCTTTCCCGGAAGCAACCACTGTGACCAACTTATCGTCTGTCTTTCCACAAATGTGTATGTATGTGTAGAAAAATTCTTATTTGAGCCTGAGGGGAATTAGTCTAGCTGAGGCTGAGTCGTCCTGAAGGTCACTCCTGGAGGCTCGCCATGCGGGAACACTGCTGAGTGCAAAGCGTCCCTGCTTTCATAAATGTAGCCCCATAATTAAGTGTGCCCGGGGTCCCCTGGTTCAAAGAGCCTGTTTTATGTTCTCAAGGGAATAGCCTCCTGCCTTCTACTAGGAGAAAGGCAGTCACCCAAAAATGTGAAATAGGGAAGGAGATGTAGGCATCTAATTGCTTCTCGAACAGCTTTCACCTAAGTTTAAGCTTTATTTAAGCCCTCCACCTGTGCCCCCAACACCATTTCCTTCATTGGCACTTCTCAAGGGGTCTGGGGCTGCCAGTTTCTGTGGATTGTACAGACCTGTTCCACAGTACGCCTTGTTGCAGGTTTAGAATTAGGCTAAGGTTTGCGAAGACCATCTGCTTTCCAGATCCCAATATTTTACTGCCGTTGTTTCCTTTCCCATTCTCTCCGTAATTTGGATGTATGTCTTTTAAAAAACCTCTTTACTGTAATTCTGGTGAGATTTCAGGAGGGAGTAGTATCAGATACACGTATTCAACCCACTATCTTAGCCTAGAATACTACTCCTCAACAACTTGGGTGTGTGTGTGTGTGTGTGTGTGCGCGCGCGCATGTGGTGTGTGTGCGGGTGTGTGTGTGCCGGTGTGTGTGTGCGGCGTGTGTGGGGGGTGTGTGCGTGGGGGGCGTGTGTGGGGGGTGTGCGCGCGCAGGTGTGTGTGTGCGCGCGCGCATGTGCGTGTGGGGTGTGCGCGGGTGTGTGCGCGCGCGGGTGTGTGGTGTGCGCGCGCGCGCGGGCGTGTTTTCCAGGGAACCTCCACTCCCCTCCAGCTCTCCCGTGAACAGTCTATTCCTCACGCCTGGCGCGCACGTGCCGGGCGACCACGACCACCCGTATGACCCCACCGGAGCGTGGGCTCCGCAGTCCGGGCTACAGCCTCTGGTTTTGAATTCACAGAGGGCAGGGCACCAATGTGGCTCTGCGAGCGGGGAGCTGCGGAGACACCGCGACGGGTCGGCAGTCGTCTCACTTTTCAGCAGCGTCCCCACAGCGCGAGCCTGCTAGCGTGACCTGCCGGACGACTCAGGCTCCGCGTGCAATAAGCGATCGCATCTCACGCCGAGGGCCGAAACGCCCCAACCACCGTAACTTCCGACCAGAAACGGCCGTGGGCGTTATCGGCCGTATCTACAGCACTACGCGGCAAGTCGTGGGCAAACAGAAACGTTTGAGAGTCCAAGTCTTCTGGGGGCTGATGATCCGGCCGGGTCCACGACAGACACCGAGCGGTCCCAGGGCAGAAACTCGGAGCGAGGTCCCCCAGGAGTTTGGGATTCGAAGGCACCTGAGGCTCCCAGCGTTCACGCCCCTGGCGCGCGTGCGCGGGGCTGCGCGGTGGCCGTCCCCGGGGCCCGGCGCGACCCCTCACGGCTCCCCGCGGTTCGCCTCTCCCCGCCCGCCCCGTTCCCTCACTCCGGCCTCGCCATCTGCCAGGCGGGCGAAACCCGGGCGGCCGGGCCCGCGAGCGCCAAGCTTACACCGACCGCCTCGCGGAGGCGACCAACAGCCCCCGAGGGGCGACGGCCGCGAGCTCGAAACGTTCCAGATGGGGCCACCAGCGCGCCAGCACTCTCGTCCGGGGGCCGTCCCCCACCTGGCGGCGCCAACCGCCACCGCCGCCGCACTTACCGGGGAACGGAAGGTGGCCGAGTGCGCCTAACCGTTCTCACTCCCTTCACGGAACAAACTAGCGCGCTCGAAGGAACCGCCTCGCCGCCCCCGCCAGCCCGTTCCGCCTCGGCGCACGCGCGCACAGGACCCGCCCCCCGGGCGCGCGGGCCGGCGCGCGGAGCACGCTGGGAGCGGGAGTTCTCCAGCCATTTCCTTGGGGGCAGGGCCGCAGGTACTGGCCAGCCCCGAGGTGGCTCAGGAGCCGCCTCCAGTTGCTGCCTCACCCCGGCTCGCTCCGCGCTGGACCCTTCCCCATCCCAGCAGCTCCGTTCCAACAGTTGCGCAGGTCCGTGAACGTGAGGTCAACTCTCATTATTCTTTTTTTCGCACGCACAGGCTGTCAATCCTATTGACTCTGTTTGCAAATATAAACAAAAGCCAGCTGCCTCTCTTGCTTCTACCGGACTGGTTGGAGTGCCCCCATTCAACTATGCCTGGATTATTGAAATAATCTACTAAATGCTCTCTTGTTCCCATCTCTGCCTCCACCTCTTTGCTACCTGATCATCACAGCAACCAGCTGGACCTGGTTGAAATGTAAACCGTCCTGTCAAAGCCTTCCAGAGGCTTCCCGTCTCTCTCATAACGAAAGCCAAAGCCCTTACAATGACCACCAAGGTTTTATATTGTTTATTTTTTTGTTTTTATTTTAGTCTCAAGTTTTTATTTAAATTCCAGTAATATTAGTTTCAGGAGTAGAATTTAGTGATTCAACACTTGTGCATAACATCCAGTGCTCATCTCAAGTGCCCCCAAGAATATCCTTCACTCATTTAACCCACCCCCCTTGCCACCTCCCCTCCAGCAACCCTCAGTTCGTTCTCTATAGTTAAGAATCTGTTTTATTATTTGCCTCTTTCTCCTTTTTTGTCCCTACGTTTATCTGTTTTATTTCTTAAATTCCACATATGAGTGAAATCATATGGCATTTGTCTTTCTCGGACTGACTTATTTTCCTTAGCATAATACACTCTAGCTCCATTCATGTCATTGCAAGTGACAAGATTTCATTCTCTTTATGGCTGAGTCATATTCCATTGTATATACACACCACATCTTCTTTATCCATTCATCAGTGGATGGATATTCGGGATCTTTCCATAATTTGGCTATTGTTGATAATGCTGCTATAAACATCAGGGTGCGTGTATCCCTTTGAATCAGTATTTTTGTATCCTTTGGGTAAATACCTAGTAGTGCAATTGCTGGATCTAGGGTAGTGCTATTTTTAACCTTTTGAAGAACGTCCAGACTGTTTTCCACATTGGCTGCACCAGTTTGCATTCCCACCAATGTTATAAGAGGGTTCTCCTTTCCCTGCGTCCTCGCCAACATCTGTTGTTTCCTGGGTTCTTAATTTTGGCCATTCTGACAGGTGTGAGGGGAATCTCATTGTAGTTTTGGTATGTATTTCCCTGATGAGCGATGTTGAGCCTCTGTTTATGTGTTTGTTAGCCATCTGGATGCCTTCGTTGGAAAGACGTCTATTCACGTCTTCTGACCATTTCTTAACTGGATTAATTTGGTTTTTGGGTGTTGACTTTAATAAGTTCTTTATAGATTTTGGATACTAACCCTTTATCAGATATGTCATTTGCAAATATCTTCTCCCATTCTAAAGGTTACCTTTTAGTTTTGCTGATTGTTTCCTTCACTGTGCAGAAACTTTTTATCTTGATGACATCCCAATAGTTCATTTTTGCTTTTGTTTCCCTTGCCTCCAGAGACCTAATAAGAAATTGCTATAGCCGATGTCAAAGAGGTTGCTATCTGTGTTCTCCAGGATTTTGATGGTTTCCTGTCTCACATTTAGGTCTTTCATGCATTTTGAATTTATTTTTGTGTATCTTGTGAGAAAGTGGTCCAGTTTCATTCTTCTGCCTGTTGCTGTTCACTTTCCCCAACACCATTTGTTGAAGGGACTGTCTTTTTTTCCATTGGATATTCTTTCTTGCTTTATCAAAGATTAGTTGACCATATAGTTATGGGTCCATTTCTGGGTTTTCTGTTCTGTTCCACTGATCTTTCTCTTTTTGTGCCAGGACAATACTGTCTTGATCACTGCAGCTTTGTAATATACCTTGAAGTCCATGATTGTAATGACTGCAGCTTTGCTTTTCTTTTTCAAGATTGCTTTGGCTTTTTGGGGTCTTTGGTGGTCCCATAAAAATTTTAGGATTGTAGCTCTGTGAAAAATGCTAGTGGTTTTTTGATAGGCATCACATTAAATGTGTAGATTGCTTTGGGTAGTATAGACATTTTAATAATACTTGTTCTTCTAATCCATGAGCATGGACTGTCTTTTCATTTCTTTGTGTCATCTTCAATTTCTTTCATAAGTGCTCTATAGTTTTCAAAGTACAGATCTTTTAGCTCTTTAGTTAGGTTTATTCTTAGGTATCTTATGGGTTTTGGTGCAGTTGTAAGTGGGATCAATTCCTTGATTTCTCTTTCTGCTGTTTCATTATTGGTGTGTAGAAATGCAACAGATTTTTGCATGTTGATTTTGTATCCTGCAACTTTACTGGATTTGTGTATCGGTTCTGGCAATTTTTTGGTGCAGCCTTTCAGGTCATCTGCATAGAGTATCATGTCATCTGCAAAGAGTGAAAGTTTGACTTCTTCCTTGCTGATTTGGGTACCTTTTATTTCTTTTTGTTGCCTGACAACTAAGGCTAGGACTTCTAGTACTATGTTAAATAACAGTGGTGAGATGGACATCCCTGTCTTGTTTCTGACCATGGAGGAAAAGTTCTCAGCTTTTCCCCATTTAGGATAATATTAGCTGTGGGTCTTTCATACATGGCCTTTATGATGTTGAGGTATGTTCCCTCTATCCCTGCTTTGTTGAGTGGGTTTTTATCAAGAATGGATGCTGTACTTTGTCAAGTGTTTTTTTCTGCTTCTATTAGATCATATGGCTCATATCCTTTCTTTTATTAATGTGGTGTACAAGTTGATAGATTTGCAAATATTGAACCACCTTTGCAGCCCAGGAATAAATCCCACTTGATTGTGGTGAATAATTCTTTTTATGTACTATTAGATTCAATTTGCTAGTATTTTGTTGATAATTTTTGCATCCATGTTCATCAGGGATATTGGCCTGTAATTCTCTTTTTTTAATGGAGTCTTTGGTTTTGGAATCAAGGTAATGCTGGCCTCATAGAATGAGTTTGGAATTTTTCCTTCCATTTCTATTTTTCTGGAACAGATTGAGAAGAATAGGTATTAACTCTTCTTTAAATATTTGGTAGGGGGCGTCTGGGTGGCTCAGTTGGTTAAGCATCTGCCTTTGGCTCAGGTCATGATCCCAGGGTCCTGGGATCGAGCCCCGCATTGGGCTCCCTGCTCAGCGGGGAGTCTGCTTCTCCCTCTCCCCCTTCCCTCTCCCCCCCCCCCCGCTTGTGTTCTATCTGGCTCTCTCCCTCTACCTCTCTCTCAAAAAAATAAAATCTTAAAGTAAATAAATAAATAAAAATAAATATTTGGTAGAATTCTTCTGAGAAGCCATCTGGCCCTGGATTTTTATTTGTTGGGTGATTTTTTATTACTGATTCAATTACTTTGCTGGTTATCAGTCTGTTCAAGTTTTCTATTTCTTCCTGTTTCAATTTTGGTAGTTTATATGTTTCTAGGAATTTATCCACTTCTTCCAGATTGCCCAATTTGTTGGCATATAATTTTTCTCATTCATTATTTTATTTTTTGGTCCTTTCTCTTTTCTTTTTGATAAGTCTGGCTAGTTTTATTAATTCTTTCAAAGAACCAGCTCCTGGTTTCATTGACCTGTTCTACTGGGTTCTTTATTTCTATATCATTGATTTCTTTTCTAATCTTTATTATTTCTCTTCTTCTGCTGGCTTTAGGCTTCACTTGTTGTTCTTTTTCTAGCTCCTTTAGGTGTAAGGTTAGGTTGTGCATTTGAGATTGTTCTTGCTTCTTGAGGTAGGCCTGTGTTGCTATATACTTCCTTCTTATGATTGCTTTTGCTGCATCCCAAAGGTTTTGGACCACTGTGTTTTCATTTTATTCCACGCATTTTTTTTAATTTCTTCTTTAATTTCCTGGTTGATCCATTCATTCTTTACTAGGATGTTCTTTAACCTCCATGTACTTATGGTCTTTCCAATTTTTTTCTTGTGGTTGACTTCAAGTTTCATAGCATTGTAGTCGGAAAGTATGCATGGTATGATCTCAGTCTTTTTGTACTTGCTGAGGCCTGATTTGTTACCTAGTATGTGGCCTATTCTAGAGAATATCCCACATACACTTGAAAAGAATGTGTATTCTGCTGCTTTAGGGTGAAATGTTCTGAATATATCTGTTAAGTCCATCTGGTCCAGTGTGTCATTCCAAGCCATTGTTTCCTTGTTGATTTTCTGCTTAGATGATCTGTCCATTGATGTAAGTGGGGTATTAAAGTACCCTACTCTTATATTATTATCAATGAGTTCCTTTATGTTTATTATTAATTGTTTTATATATTTGGGTGCTCCTATGTTGGGGGCATAATTATTTACAATTGTTAGATCTTCTTGTTGGATAGACCCTTTTATTATGATATAGTAATCTTCATCTCTTCTTACAGTTTTTGGTTTAAAATCTAGTTTGTCTGGGGGTGCCTGAGTGGCTCAGTTGGTTAAGCGTATGCCTTCTGCTCAGGTTGTGATCCCAGGGTCCTGGGATTGAACCCCGCATCTGGCTCCTTGCTCAGCAGGGAACCTGCTTCTCCCTTTCCCTCTGCCTCCCCCTCCCTCCCCCTCTGCTCTCTCTCTGTCAAATAAATAAATAAAATCTTTTTAAAAATAAAATAAATAAAATCTAGTTTGTTTGGTATAAGTGTTGCTACTCCAGCTTTCTTTTGATGTCCATTCGCATGAAAGATGGTTCTCCATCCCCTCACCTTCAATCTGCAGGTGTCTTTAGGTCTAAAATGAGTCTCTTGTAGGCAGCATATAGACGGGTCTTGTTTTTTTAATCCATTCTGACACCCTATGTCTTTTAATTGAAGCATTTAGTCCATTTACATTCTGGGTCGTTATGGATAGATATGA